TCGGGAGGAGACGAGACAAACTTCCGCGGGGTGAAAAGTCCCAAGGTTACTGTCAAATCTCGCAAAAGATCCTTGAAGATATTGTTCTGCACGAAGTTGAGTTCTCATTGCGAATCACGCTCAGAAAAACGTTGGAAGCCAACCGGGGCTCGTCTTCGCCGTGCTTGGACCGGGCCTTCTGGAGAAGAGCAGGGCTCTTTCTGTGGCTGGCCGAGTCTGGAAGCAATCAATTGTCTTGCACTTCGGCAAATATCTTCTTCCGAGCTTGAGGTTTTCGGCTGATGACTTTGGAGACTCCGTGAGGGCTCCAGGGAGTGGCTTCGAACGCTGAGCTTTCTCAGTCAGTCCCTGCGCAGCTGATTGACTGACTGGATGGTTAAATGATGGATTGCGCGTGTCGTCTCTGACGAGCTCTTGATCTTCTGTTGTTTTCTCCATCGCCTTCTTCGTCTCTTCGGACAACGAAGTTGGACCGACGAGGTTCTCCGGTGTTCTACGCTTTTCGGCCGGAATCGACGTCGTTGAAAGGCTCGTTCTTTTTCTTTTACCGGCTCCGAAACGACCGACGGAAATCGGTCTGGGGCCTTGCAGTGTCTTCGTGTCTGATGCTTAAAGGGTGCGATGTTCTTTCCACCTCGAGGAGCGTGAAGTCTCCTCCGACCCACGCCTCTCCGGGGTCGCAGGACGACTTCTGAGCTCCGGAACCGGCTCAGAGCTTTATCCTGAGAGGAGCCTCATGGTTTTTCGCTTAGTACTCGAGAACTATGCGTAAGAGCATTGGCAACCCGTGCTCATCTCTCCGTCCTCGGTGACTCCGAGTGCATGAGTTCACCGAAGGCGTCATCTGAACAAAGATCTCTATTGACTGCAGTCCCCGCGTGACTTTGTCATAACGGAAAGAGCTGCTGCTCATGAAGACGATGATGACGACGCTGGCGTCCATTGTCGACGGAATGTGTGAACTGGATCTTCGTTTCCCTGCTTCATTCTTCTTTTTCGTCCGAGCTAGTGGAGCACTTAAAAGCGGAACGGCGGATTTTCGGGTTCATACTTCGTTCGCTGAGGTTTCCGGTGTTTGGATCGATGGAAAAACAGTGTGGCAAGTTTACCTCCAGAGCGACTACCGGACTTCAGAAACGATTCTCTTGTTTTTTGCCGATTCCGCTCTGTTTTTCCCCTTCAGAAGTTCCATATTGTCTTCGTACACAGCCGCGTCCCTTTTTGTCGAGGAGGGAAGGATAGACGACAAGCAGCGGCGGGGAAGCTAGTGGACTGTGGGGAAATGATGAACTACACCGAAGCTCGAACGACGGATGGCGACCGGCAAGAAGACAATCTACGTCGAATTTTTGGTTTCGTCGTTCCTCTCCATGCTGTTTTTGCCATCGGCATTTAATGAGCTGCGTGTCGCAGAGATGAAAAATGGGAAATATCATTCGATCGTTCCGGTCGTTCTGCGATGTCCATCATGCATACGGGAGCCCCCCGCGATGGAATCGAAGTTTGCCAATCAGGGAGGGCAGAATGGTAAAATTCTGGCGCTCCACCGAAACCCCTTTTCCGATTCGATCCATCCCATTCCTCTCATTTGATGCGGACCACAGAGATCGACTTCTCGGAGAAATTTGATGTTCGTCAGATCTCTGCCCACACTTCTCATTAGCTTCCGGAATTTGTCCGCCGTCCGAAGCATTTTCAGGCATCCAGAGGGCTTCGGCTACTGGGCGTCAGTGACGCGCACAGGTAACGGACACATAGGCCGCTCGTGAGTGGATAATTTGCGTTGGATCGGAGCAAGGTACAAAAGTCATTTGGAGAACGACTTCGTAAATAGCCGAGTGATTTGTACAGATATTCGATGTCGTCCCCGAAGACTCGATTATCGATGACACAAGTAAGATTCTTCGTCTCCGCTCGTTGGTCATCTGTAAGGCTGGAAGCGTTCGTAACACGGGAACTCTTCGTGTTCTCCATTAGGATGTTGGATACGTTCCCGGACATCTTCATCTATGCCGGTGACCGATCGGATCGTACGTCACGCCAAGTCGGGGCAAATCGGATTGCATATTCTGTTTTCTTTCCGATTTCTGTCGAGGAGCCGTGAACATCGCTGCCACAGGCAAAGACTCTCGGAGCAGGACTCACAACGAGAGGAGTTGCTTTGCTCCGATAGAATGAGCTCATCAAGAGATATTCGTATTCGGATTCAGATTTCGTCTGTACAGGTGTGTCAACTTCGGCATCTTCCGTCAGCCGTGCTACTAGGGCTCAGTTCACGAGTTTGAAATTCAGATTACGTTCCGAGGCCTGGCAGAGCGCCTCTCCGTTAAGTCCACTGTCAACCGAGCGGCAGGTGCGGTTTAAGACCTGCCGCGATTTGGCTCACGTATGTGTGTTTCTTTCAAGCTCAACAGCATCGTCATCAGCTCAGCCTTCTGAGAGCTCTTCTCGTTCAAGCGCGCAAATAATCTTCGGACGGCACGATTCAGAACATGGTTCCGAAGCTTCGAACTGCTTCGATCTCGTGACCGCATCTTGCAAATTTGTCCGAACAGGTGTAGGAATACTATGACGCGGTCTTTCCCCCGCGATACCATAAGCCTCCGGCACGATCGGGACTCGCCGCTAATTCGAAATTCGTTCAGCGATTTTCCTTCAATATAAATTATCGAGTTTATTTCCCTATTGGACCGATTCATTTCCTGCAATTTTCTCTCGGGAGTCGGTTCCTACTATGGACACATAACTGTAATCAGTTGTCGATGCGGAAGGTCTTGAGTTGGTCGAGGCTTGGCGGATCGACGTGAAGGAATTGTTCGGTCGACTAAGGCTGTTGAAATGTCGTATTCGGGAGAAAAACAGAATCGCGGTGACAAACTCATCCCGGCTTCATGTTCCGCGGGAAGTGCTATCCTAAGGCTCCTCGAACTCGACAGATAAAGTGGCCTTTAAAGGAGAGAAATAGAGAAGATGCGACCCTTGAGGCTTATGTTCAGCTGACCGTTCGATGGGTTCGGAGGCCCAAGTGAACGAATGAGAGGCGCCGCCAGATATTCCATTGTTTTGTCTGTGATTAGAAACATCATGATCATTTTGCTTTGACTCCGTGTGCTCGGAAATTACATTGATCATCATGTTTAAGCTCTGTCAATAAGACAATAGCCAATTTTTGATTTATTCGTCGTCAGAAGCTACAGAGGATGACTCCGCAATATCTAAACGGATAATGTTCGACCTTTCGCTACAATTTTTCTTCCGAAGCGTGGGGAGTGGAGTCGAGTCGGCCCGGATGGGTTTTCTTTAGTCAGAGCTCTGAGCTTAGATTCAGATTAGCGAAACCACTTTCAGATTCCACCGAGTCCATGAATCGGGAGTGTGCCGATCCTCTACATTCTAAATGATTGCCATGAATTCAGTTCCCCATTCTCTTGAATCCATTCCGAGGACGGGAGCGGATGGCGCGAAGGAGGAGCGGCTCGAGAGACTGATCCGCTCCTAGTGAATATTCGTCGGGCCGATCTGGAACATGGTCTCCATTTGTTTTTGTTTCTCTATACGTTTTGACCATGTTTTTTTCGCTTTCGCCGCTTCGTCGAGCCCACCTCTTCAGCGGCCTTGAGCATGCACTCGAACAACTGAGTGAGTATCGAAACAGTCGTGGAAACATCCGCGTCTCGCTCCGTGTCGCTGTCCGTCGTTCAAATTACAGCAGCGGCGACCGAACTTATTTCTTCCTGGACCCCCAACTCACCTCTGCAGTATCCCGCTACGAGGAGCTCCTGAGGACTCAAGGAGCTTGGGGCAGATTGGGTGGATAACAAGAATCATTGTCAGAATTACTGCGACAAAGTCCGACGGGGGTCTTGTACGGAGTAGAAGCTCTTGATATTCGGATAAGGAACCCCTGGTCCGAACCCTAGTCGAGATTTACGCGACATTGTAAGTCTCGGTCGTCTGGACGCGGCACACATTTCACCGACATCGTTTGTCGCGACGTGTCGGCTTATAAAATATTTGTGTTCGGACCGGCAGACTTTCCATTTCAGAAACAACGTCGCTGCTCTGTAGGCTTCGACCCTGCTAGATATATCTAAGTCCACGACCCACGCATGGGTTCGAGGCTCGAGCTTTTGAAACCGTCGCTTGCTGGCCGCGAGACAAGCGGACAGGGTTGAGATTTTGCTCATTCGACGGGGATTGAATGATGTATTCCATCGTCACCACTCCACTCATAGACCAATAGGATATTCAGGAGTCATCCGGGGGCGAATTCATCTTCGAGACTGTTGAACTTCACCCTTCCGAGTCACACTGTTGGATCGCGAAAAAACTCTACTCTTAATAGATTCACGAAGCTAACGAGCAAAAAGTTCAGGAATAGCGTCTTCGCCGGACAATGGCACGCGGCTTGGGGTTTTTATAACTTTTTTGTTACTTCATTCCAAGTAACGAGCTTTCGTCGCGTACGCGCAGAGGTAGGTCCGCGGGTCCCAGTTCCCCCCGTTTTTGCTAAACTGATCCCACTTCGCTTCCGGAAGACGTCCGCAGTGTCGGTTATCTATCTTGTTACGGAAAAAGCGAATAGCTCCGCTCTTCCCTCGTCAATCTTCCCACCTGTCAGAGAACCGAGGGCGTCGACGCGGAGAATGAGACCGATTCGACCTTCCTTTCCGGATTATTGTACGTTTATTACGTCTGTGGACATGCTTTCCGTCTACGTGGATAAATGAGTATAATATTATTTAGCTGAAAGTGAGTGAGTAAAAAAAAAACTATCTCGCGCTGGAAGTACGGAGTGAGGAACACTCATATGTACACATTCGGGGAATACGCCAGATCAGATTAAAGCGATTGGATGAGCGTTTACCGTTTATCAGAACGACTTGATACGTGATACATACGGAATATCATGAAAACTGTAGGAATGGGGTCGTCGTGGCGTGGGAACAAGGACGGATCCCAGAGGCTAGGTGTTCAAATTTTGTTCTTTTATCTTCCAGATGACTCGGCACCGAGAATAACCCATGGACCTCAGTCTGTGGTTATCCCGCGAGGAGGGAGGGGCTACTTGGCTTGCAGGACCACTGGAATGCCTCCGGCCCAGATACGATGGATGCGGAATGGCGTCTTCATCACCGAATTCGGATACACGTACAACTACCGCATAGTACAAGCCAAAGACGAAGGTGAGTCCTTTCGTCATTCGATTGTCAGGTTGCACGAATTCACTCGTCGAACGACTTCTTTCGGACGGGTTTCAATAGTCTCGATGAAAATCGTTCTTCGAAGCATGCGAGCAGTGGGCGTCGAAACCATTTATCACCGTCCCGGCGTACAAGACTTTCGACGCACCGCGGAAAGCCACAGAACCAGTCTACATAGGATAGTTGCGTTATTCTGCAGGACGTTCCGTGAGTTGTGAGAACTGAATTCTTCTCACGACAGAAAGCTTCTGTTGCCATCTTCCTGCTTTATCGAGCACTTATCTAGAACTGCGCATCACGTAAATCTCCCATGCGACACTGTCGCACCTGTGAATGGCTGAAAGACGGGCGAGTCTCACGGTTCATTGCACGAGCTATACGAAAAACTGCAAATTGACTTCGGTCTCCCTGAAGAGCCTCGTTTCGGTTTTCGCGGTCCCAAACCCGACCGCCGTCTATCGTACTTTCATTTCATCGTTTTCCTGCAATTACTTGGTTTCAATCATCGGGTGTATTCCTCCAGATCGATATCTCTCGTGAACTTCACACGATGCGACATCGTCGTAACATTCCATGACTCGTCTGAATTCTGTCTCAAGATGCTTGCGACATCTTCCTTGCGCATCCTTCGTCTTCATCGTCTTTTTTACTCCTGGCACTCATTCCTCGTTTCAACATCTCGTGCCAACATTTTTGCGTACCGTCTCCCGGAGGTCTTCCCCCTTCCCCTTGACATCCATCGCGTATGCAAAAGCCACACGGGCTGGACTCGTCGACAAGCATGAGGAAACTTCGTCCCGTGGACGAAAATCCCATTGCTTCCCAAAAATTTTCGCTGTTTTGTTCCGAAGGGAAAAATTAAAACAGGAAACTCCGGCTGACAGCAGATCACACTGGAAAAGTAGATTCCCGTTCGGCGTCGTCTCGGTTCCGGGTATGGTGTATCGCTGCGAGTGACATAAAATCTCACCCGGAGATCAGTCAGCTCGACTCACGTGCTGCGACGGCTAACCGCGTGGTCATCGGACTGTGAAGAGGCCCCGGAACGGAAACCATGGTTTGTGTTACGTCAACTGCAGGCCAAGAAGAGCATCCGTCGGTGACCCAACGCCCGCTTCTACAGAAGTTTCTCAGAAGTCTATAATCGAAACACGGTGACAGAACAATCGAACGACGAACACGACGACGCGACGACGAGGACGGTCACTGTATCACCAACAAAGCTTGGAATTTACCTAATGTCGACGGAAAGAGCGTCGTCGCGCTGTCTCATGCAAATCTTCACCGTCTTCTGCCACCGCTCCGAGGAGCGCCTGCCCAGGGGCATCGGCGGCCGTTGAACCAGAGCCTTATCCAGTTGAAAGAAAAACCGCTTTGAAAACAACATACACAGAAGATCTCGCTGCGAGATATTCATTTTCCTTTCGAGACCTGCTCCTTATCCCCGTCCGGTAAGAAGGAAGGCTGTTCGCGGAAACGAATTACGGCTTTTGCACAAATATTTCCATTTATTTGAGCCTTTGTTGCTCTTTTATCATGTCTCACCGCGTTTGATTCATTCGACTTCTGAGAATCAGCCCGAAAATTCGAGGTACGATGATTCACCGACGTCGACCGGCGACGCAACGCAGCAGCTCCGCGACTCGAGGATCATTCCGCGCGAGATCTTCCAGCCAGCCGCTTCTTGTGAATCTTCCGGCTGAGCTCTCGGAACTCCTCCTGGAGTCCAACGCATCGTACGGTGATTCCGGTCGAATCATTCCTGATTCGCCTCGGAGTGCTGCTCATCAGAGGGGCGACGAGCACCTTCCGTGCCCTTCCGTGATGGGTCCGGGTGCGGATTGCGCGGTTGATTCTCGAGATTCCGAATTCATGTCGACGCTGGAAACAATTGTTCCGTGATGGGGAGTCACGACCGGAGCCCATCCGACAATATAAAACACTCGGACAACATCACTGCAGCAGTTGCAGAAAACTTCAAGACCGCTACATGGCGGTCGTGAGAGCGACCCGACCGTATAACATGAAGGGTCCGTTCCCTCCCAGTATCGGTCGAGTATGCTCCCGAACACGGGGCGAAATTGATGCACACTGTTGTGAGTCATCGCGTGAAAATTACCCGTAATTTATTCGGTCGTGTTCGACGGCTCCGACAAAGCGAGGGATGAGACAACGATGGATTCACCACTCAATAATTTCCTCATCAAGAACATTTCCAGCGGAGACTGGATGCATACACCATCCCAATTATTCTGGCTGACGCGAAAGGGTCCGAGAAGCGCAAGAGACCGGTAGGAGCGCGGTCCCTCCGAGCCGGGGAACACTTGTCGTTGGTTGCTCCATCACAGGCCTGGAGACGCAGATGAAAAATGGATCGAGCGCTACGAACAAGTACGGATCTTCGTGACGGGGAGCGGATGGGGAAGTTGATGCTACAGCTCGCGGAATTCGCGTGAGAATTGCACTCAATGAAATCATTGAGGCCGTGGGATATTCGCCCACACCTGGAATGAGCGGAGAAGGGTCAAGCGAAGAATACTATTCACTGATTTAACCGAGTCGATTCGGTCAAGTCGCTTGAAACGTCGACCGTCGACTTGCCGACGCACCACATGGCTGGACTCCATGGTGATATTCGGAGGGAGCCGAGAATATTCGACTCCTCTTACGGACTTCTCGCTGTTTATTCGTCCAGAACCGACAGGACTTTCTCGTGTTCTACGGTCGGAGCAGTACTTCAACGGTTGCCGTGGGTTCCTTGCAGATTCCAATGACAAACTCTGTGTCTGAATGACCAAGACGTGATTGCACCTAAAGATAATAGTCGATGGGCTCGCAGTGCTAACTAGCGATGAAGATTCAGGCAGGGTGGGCTGAAGCGCCTGGTGGAGTTGTATTCGCGGACAGAAGATTCCGACGGAATTCCTCTGCACCCGACAATCGTTCGGGACTCTTGTTTCGGAGCTGTCTGATGATACATACAAGGTGAACGGGATGACGATGAACCGAGAGAGTCGTCTGGTAACGATAAAGACCGAATTGTGTAATGGGATCGAGCTGCGTGAGCTTGTCGATTGCAGCTTCCGAAGCTTGAGCCGGTGGCAGCCTCATGGCGACTCACGATTCGTATTTTTGTGGAGAGTGTTCTCTTTTGAATTTTGATTGATAGCGAGCCTTTCTCATGACCGCGTCCCTTCCAAAAAGAGGGATCGCAGTTTCCTCCGGGTTCGAACCAGAAATCAGTCCGCGAAATTCCACGATGAGTCTCCAACTCGAAAGGAGTCTCCACGAGACGAACTTCGGATGCGATTTGGATAACGGTTTCTCCTTCGCCGCTCCCAAGTCGTCTCTGACCAGCTTTCCGCGGCCAGGAAAGTGAGGAAGAGCTTTCCACCTGCGTCGCCGGGGATCGTGGACGGGATCCTGACTTTCTCAGATGTTTTTGCTGCTAATCAAGAACTCTGAGCCAGTTGCTTAATTTTTACCTGCCTCGCTCCTCAACAAATGAATAGCTCGCCAATTATCACGAGGAACTCGCCGACTCTTTACGTATTAGATAGAAGGTCCGGTTAGCGGACAACCACTGTCAGACGAGGAAGCTCGCGAGCAGACTGACCATCGCGTTTTCAGAAGCACCGCCGGTGGCCTTAATGGGCGTCCGGTAATTATCTGATTCATCTATGCATTTCTCCGTTTCTCAGATCATCACGCACTCGACATGTCATTCATTACCCCTTGCTTCACCGTTCGAAAGATTGTCTCCTGTCCTCGTCTGATCCAAAGAGAAAACGAACGAGCTCGGTCAGATCTGAAACTAGATCTGAAATATCGTGAACGCTAAGTCTCTTCTAAGGATCGTATTTCCCGTGAGCGCCAGGAGGGGGCGAGGAATGGAGCCCTCCTCGGTTCGATGAGGTCTCTTCCTCACGCTTCAAAGATTATCATGACTGGATATTCGTTTACGGAGTTAATTCTGCGGGGACAGCGAAGAGTGGGGCTCGAGTGAGTTGAAGCAACTGTTGACAGAACGCCTTCGGCGAACAATCCGTCACCGGCGATGCAAAATCATTCCAATTCAGCGGCGTATAATTTTCTTAATTCCCGCGTGGGTAAAAGCCGGAGACTCTACTCCGATGAAAATTATCCGACGGCTTCCGATACCGCTGATGCTTCCCGAATCGTTCAGATACCCGTCCGAAGAGCGACTAATTCAAATTCTTCTGCGGGTAAGGCAAATAGTGCATGTGACAGGGCTCCCAGCAAGAGAAAAGGCATATCCAATGCTCGACTGACTGTCTGACCGACTGAGTGAGGAGTCACCCACGCGAGAAGACCTCCTGTCACTTCTCGTTTGATATGAAACGGTCGATGATATCATCTCGATCAACAAGTCTTCATGCGCAATGCGCTGATCGGGCGACCGAGTGACGTAGCTTCTGTTTCCCGAGGGAATCGATGCATTGTTTGCCCAGTCGAACAGATCGGCTCCGCCAATGGAGAAGCTTTCACGAAAACCGAATTCTGATTCCCGTGCGAAGGATGAACGGAGCGGGGCATGAGCTGCAACATTCGAAACGGTTGAGAGGAACATTCCTCGGAGATCTCGACTCGAAGGAGCTTCGAGGACCTGGTCATCGCATTGGGTCTCGGGAAGCTACCAAAAATAAAATCAGGGATCGAGAGGAAGAGCGCGAATGATGATCGATGTGTATATAGATAGATTTCTAGACTTGCTAGACTTCATGCATTAAGATCGAATTTTTACCTTTGCAGATGACGGGGAATACCGTTGTGTCGCAAAGAATCGAGTCGGCTCGATACTGTCGAAATCCGCGCGAGTTTCAATCGCCAGCATCGAAGCCACGGATACGATCTCACCTAAGGCGTCATTTACTTCATCTGAAGGAGACATCCAAGTATTCACTAAACCCGAAGTGAAATCCGTTCCGAAGGCAATCGCTTCTTGGACGCGGAATGACACACCTGTCGTGAATGATCTTCATTATCACATCGCCCAGGATCAACGGCTCCTGATCTTGGACGTGACTCAGAAGCTCAGGGGGAAATACAGGTTCGAACGGTTTCATGGCTTTCTATTTTGACGCAGTAAAACGCTGAAAAACCGGGTCGAATGTGAGATTTTCCAGAAGAAGAAGAATGTCTCCCAGTCAGACATCGTAACTCCCTCCTTTCGGCTTTTACTGAATGATCAATTTTTGCAAAACGAAATTATTGCTTCCTCACTTCTGGCGTCTTACGGTAAAAACTCCTGTTCCTTGATGACACTCTTAAGAGACTTCCAAGGGGATTCTGAGAGGCACCTCGAGCCTTGGGGGCGTCTTCAGTCGAGCAACCTCATTTAAATCGCTCCGAGCGCGATGGAAGAAGTGAAGTTCCCCGTAACCGTATGATTTCATTCGGTCGTGTCAATCGCGGAGATGAGTTCCGCCAATCAACTCTCATCGAGCAAACATGCTTACTTTCGATTCTCGTTCCATTGGTTTTGAATGAGTGGTCTCGTTCTACAAAGCTTTCGGCGTACGCTCCACAGGTTCGGCGATACCGGCCTAGACAATGCTAACTGGAGACGCGGGGAGAGGGAGATTTAGCGACCGACCGACGGACGGAGGGACCTGAAGCGGCGGCGACTAAATGACATATTCGTCTATTTCTCGAAAACGATGCGAACGACGAAGAGCCGAAAGATTGAAACTGTCATTTCGAAAGAGTGCCGTTTGACAGACGAGCTGTTCCCTCGCGAACATCGGTTTCTTTTTTCTGCCGCTCCTCTGTCTACCTCCATTGTCTATTTACTGTCGGAATGGCAGCGATCATCAGAGAATGTGAGGAAGCCTCAGCCGCTATTGGCAGAAGCGATCGGATGCCTTCCCCTCTTCTGCATAGGGAGCTACTGCAGCTTTCCGGTGTGCTCGTGACTCCTGATTGCTTTTGTCGAGCGAGAACGCTTCGCTATCAGATGAATCGTGGTTCATCGATTTGCTTCTCGTCTCGACATTTCTAACAGATTAACACGGGCTATTCGATAGGGACTCGACGTATAGAAGGGTACCGCAAACTACCGCAAGCTGAAAGAGAAGCGGAACAAGTACCCACAGAAAAAGATGACAAATTGATATTCCGCTCGTAGGTTTTGAGTCGGCGCGTGATTAGCTCTGACCGCATGTTATCCTTACGGAGGAAACACCGGCGGCGGATCCATGTGGAGGCTTAGTGGCTCTGGTCGCTGTCTCGTTCTGGTCATTCTGGTCGTTGTCCGTCGGTCGGTCGTCGCGTCTTGTCCCTTTCGTGTAGCTTTTGATTCGTACCGGGGCATGACCGGCGTTCGCTCGACCGCAGTCCTCGTCGTTTTCTTCGTCGTCGCGTTTTTTCATCCTCTGGCCTGCCGGCCGCCGCTGATTCTGCTGTTATTATTATTGTCATTATTGTAGAGGAGGGCGACTGCAGAAAAGAACATAACATCTGAGAGCTGTTTATGCATTCAGCTCTGGACAAGTAGCTCTATAGCAACACCGGTCCGATCGGATGAACGCAGAACCGACTCATCCGAGCGAACAGCTGGCTTGTTCCTAGCACCTATGAGCTGCCGGCCTGACCCCCGATTGTTTCTTATGACCGAAGACAACTCAATACACGGCGGTGTTGCTTCAGAAAGCAATCAACTGACCCATTCTGAGATGAGAGAATATATAGACGCATCCGAAAAGAAGAAGACATGGAACGAAAAAGTTGCACGATCGACTAATTTAGCATCGACTGAATCGATGCGTTTTGGGCATGCCTCTGGTCAGAGAGAATCGAGATAGACGGGTATCGAGGTTGAGCTTCACTTCGATGGGAGGATCGGAATGATTCGAGGTTCGCACATGAGATGGTCACGAGCTGCGGGAACTGACGCTCATTTCACGCACATTCGTTTTGCAGAGTCATACTGGCCAATCAAAATACTCACAATGAGATCGAAGGACCAGATATCGATTTTAAAGTAAGCAAACCCACCTTAAGCTCTTTGCTCCTATTTGTCATTGGATATTGTTCATTTATTGTTCATTATTTGCACCTTCCTCACGGAGATTGAGCCTCATCAATTCACAGGTGTCTTCCAATCGCATAACACCGGGACCAAAAATATTCATCAGTCCCAAACCCAGAGTCGACTTCAGCGTCCCACCGGTCGGAGTTCTGGTGATCCCTTCGGAAAGTCACCTTCTCGAATGCATAGCGAACGCCCACCCAATCGAACAACTGCGGACGCTTTGGTTCAAGGATGGAGTCGAAATGGAATACACGGGTCTACCGTATCTACTTGAAGCCCGGAACCGAACATTGATCCTCGATCAACTAAGTCCAGAACATGCGGGCTTATACGAATGTCGGGTGTTCCTTGCGACTTCCTACGGCCCGCAAGGTTTTGATTCGGCCGTCAGCAACGTAACGGTTTCCACGGTTCCCGTCGTCAGACCGATGCCGTCGGAACGAGCCATCGACACCGGCTCGTCTCTAGGTGAGACATATCACGATCGAGAAAAAACTTACAAGTCGAGCATATGCGTTTTTATGGAATCCCAAGCCGTCCGGAAATTGTTTTCGCGGCTCTGTGTTCAAACGGTCTCACATATTGGCGGACTTCGGCTTTGCCAAGAACTCCTTGCGAGTCACGGATTCATATCCGCATCGATTGGATGTTCGACAAACGATGAATTCCGACTCGAAAATTTATTCATTTCCCCTCCGCAGGTCTGACGTGCAACGCGACTGGCAATCCACCCGCTGAAATCACGTGGTACCGCAACGCAAACCTCTTGGAACAACGCGGAGCTTATCTAGAGGTCAACAACAGCGACGACGGGGGTGTATATCAATGCATCGCGAAAAATTGGGTCGGCGAAGACATGAGTTCGACATGGGTGAATGTCAAAAGACTCCAACCCGCATTCGTGCGTCGACCGCAAAATATCACTGCTCTAACTGGAGAACAGTTCACGCTGGAATGTAACGCCACCGGTGCCCCACAACCGAAAGCTCGTTGGGTATTCAACGAACGGGAACCTATAGAAAACCAAGGGAGGTTCCTCATCGATTCTGAAACGAGAAGTCTCACCGTAGTCCAAGCCGAAGTGAACAACACCGGCAAGTACACCTGCGAGATGAGTAACTCGGCTGGAACTGTGGAGGCATCGGCGTACGTTACCATACTGAGCAAGACTCACATCTACCGGCCTCCGATGGACAGCCGCGTGATCCTCGGTAATAATGCTTTCCTTGACTGCGGAGTAGCGAGCGATGTCAAGGGCGGAGGAGAACCCGAGGTCACGTGGCTGTTTAACGGGAGGCCACTCCAGACCACGTCCAGGGTATTCATGAGAGCCAATGGGACTCTCATCATCCAGCAGGCGAGGAACACCGATATAGGTACGGCTCGACATGTGAATTCTCGATCTATAGCTTTTGAGGAGGGTTACAAATCGAGTGGCTCATCCAAAGGAGCGGTACCTTGGGAAAAGGAGGAACTGAAAAATTCACCGCTCCACCTGGGAAGAAAGTCAATTGCGATTTGTCCGGGATCACTGTCACGATTTGATCATCAGGACGTCGATTTTATCTTCCAGGAAACTATACCTGCCGAGTTGCATCCCCTGGGGGTAGCGATACGAAAACGGCACGTCTCGACGTGATCGAACTCCCTCATCCGCCTACGTTTGTGCATGTGAACGTAGTCGACGAGTTCCCGAAAACCGTGAACGTGTCATGGGCAAAGAGTTTTGATGGTAACTCTCCGATCATCTCCTACATCCTAGAACGAAGAGAGATGCCTCTCCTGTCGAACCAGAGCGAGGATTCCAGTCTCCTAGTGCGATGGAAGGAACACCAGGACAACATCTCTGCCGACACCACGTGGATCTTGGTTGGAATGCTCAAACCGTCGGTGCCCTATCAATTCAGAGTCAAGGCGAAGAACTCTGTAGGTGTTGGTCAACCTTGTCAAGCGACCAACACGATAGTTCTCCCCGCTGAAGCACCCGGCGGTCCTCCGACGAATCTCGTCGTTGCGGCGAGGAGTCCAACGTCGATCGTGCTGCAGTGGAGTCCCCCGACGGAGGGAGATCGCAACGGAGAACTCTTGGGCTATGAAATTCGGTACAGACTCGCGGGGTACAGCGGATCTGACGAAGCTCAACGCAGGGTCAACGCGAGCCAACCGTTGCCGTTCATTCTCGACGAACTAATCGTGTGGCAGACTTACGAGGTTCGCGTAGCCGCTTTCAATGAAAAAGGCGTCGGTGTCTTCTCGGGACCGGTGACGGTTCGAACCAAAGAAGCTCCACCGCAAAGCGCACCTACGTTGCGTCAAGTATACGCCATCAACTCAACTCATATTAAGGTGAGAAAAACACGACGAGACGAAGATTCGATTCCGCTTCTTCTCCTGTTAATGACGACATTCACGCGCACGATAGAGGCAGGGAAGAATCACATTCGGGATCTTCTTGCTTGGCGGAGTACCGATGAAAGTACGGAGTACCGACCCCTTTTTCGTTCCAAAACCAACGTGGAAAGTTATATCCCACGAGGGGAGGAGGGGCTGTCGCCATCTGGATGGCTGTCGGTGTAATCACGGTCCATTCGTTCTCTGAAGGTCTTCATCACCGGACTCACGAAGCGCCTCTAAAAATTGATGCGCACAGTTTTGTCTTCGTTCCAGTTTTGTTGAAACGGACCGATATTCCACTCCTGGGTAAAACTCCGCTGGGGAACAGCAGCAATCAGCGGCACTATGTGGTGTGCGTTCCGGCTGCTGCGGTTGCTTGCCTCGGTCGGAGAGGAGCGTGTGTCCGGTGCTTGTTTGTGACACCGTACGTTTTGCGTGGTCAGCGGAACATCTAGTTTCGGGAGCTGAGCAACCATATGTTTTAGATCGACCTTCTCGCGTCCATGTCATAGGGCTCTTCTCCCCGTTTTATGCCTCCTGAGCGGCGGGACATAGACCTCATTGGGCAGAAATGGATTACCTATCTCGCCGACGACGGTCTGAGGCAAAAGTTCGGCTCCCGAGCAAAAGTTGGGCTCGTCCGGGATTTGAACCCGGGACCTCTCGCACCCTAAGCGAGAATCATACCCCTAGACCAACGAGCCACTTGTTACACGTACCGAAGAGCTCAGAGGACATGACCGATTTTCGGTGAAGAGTATTGATCGATACAGAGCTTGCCGGGAGTTCCAAAGTCTCATGAAGCTCCATGCGAAATTCCTGTCCCGAGCCCTGTTTGAGATTGCGAATGAAGATCCCGCCGGGCCCATCAGGAATGAGTTCCGATGTCCGATGTCCCAGATGAAGATCGTCGAGAATCGTAGCTCTGACATCTCCTCCTCGGGAACCCGTCTCCCCGGCGAAAAGAAATTCTGATTGGAGACGGAAAGTCCAAGTGCATGTCGCGAGCCGGACCATTTTCCGATCAGTTCCAGCGATCTAGTGCTGCCGACTCTATTCAGAAATGATCGATGGGCATTAACAGCCGATCGAGTGATACTTCCCATGGATGTAAACAGCGTGTCGAAACTCAAATTGAGTGATAATTGTTGGTTTACAGGTAATCTGGAGCCCCCCGGATCCGCAACAGATCAACGGAATCAATCAGGGCTACAAGGTTGAAGCCTGGTACAATGGCGAAGTCGAGAAGTCAATCAGGGTCGGACCGTCGACCGGTGACCCACGTGATGATCAGGAAGAAACCTTCGGCGGACTTCAGAAATACCGAACTTACAACATCACTGTTTTGTGTTACACGTCGGCCGGTGATGGACCCCGGAGTCAAGAACTGACAGTTTGCACGAAGCAAGACATTCCGGGAGTAGTGACGAACATGATGTTCGAAAGCGTTCTGGATTCGTCTCTGGAAGTTCTCTGGGAACCACCAGAGGAGCCTAACGGCATCATACTCGGTCAGTATCCAGCACCGAAAGTCTCTACCTGAGATGATGAGCCTGCTGGAGCCTTCAAAAAATATTGATGATATCTCGAATTGATGATCAATCACACGATTTGTGTTTTTCCGCAGATTACACTATTGAATACTGGGAAGAAGCCGACATTACAACGAAACTCACTGAGACCGTCAAGTCCGAAATTAGAACGGTGTACATCTCGGGTCTGAAACCACTGACGACATATATCTTCGAGATTTCCGCGAGCACCGTTGTGGGTCGTGGGCCCCCAGTCGCGGCTTCGATTCAATCTGGCATCCCACCAGTTTTTCCGGAGCCTCCAACGAATCTTGCGGTGTCAAACATCGGCCCCGCGTCTGTAGTTCTCCAATTCCACCCTGGTTTCAACGGCAACTCGTCCATCCTCACTTGGCGCGTGGAGAGCCAACAAGGTCGGGAGATAAACAAGGAGAAGATGTCTGCCTGGACCTTGCTCTTCGACTACAAAGTAGACGTCGATCGACGGCGCCGTCCGAATGAGATTCCCGCGTCCACGCAGAGCATCACCGTTCCGAATTTAGTGCCCTACACCGAATATAGGCTGCGACTCGTCGCCGAGAACATTGTCGGCTTCAGCGAACCTTCGGTCGCAACGAAATTCTTCGAAACCCTCCAGGCACCACCCACCAAGCCGCCTCAAAACGTCACAGCTCGTTCCGTGAATGCTACGGCTCTGAGAGTCCGGTGGACTCCACTGCTTCAGGCAGATTGGTGCGGAGTGCCGAAAGGTTACAATATTTCCCACAGAAAAGTCAGCGAGTCTTCGAGACAATTATCAGAGCTGCTCACCGATCACAACGCTAATAGCTTCGTCATCAAGAACCTGGACCCGTTCAGTCAATATGAAATCACAGTTGCCGCAGTTAATGACGTCGGCTCAAGCCCATGGTCGAACGCTTCCACGGCGAACACGACCGAGTCAGCACCAGCCGTAAGCCCGACGGGGCTCCAGGGCAAAGCAACAACGTCGACGACAATCGTGGTCAGTTGGCATCCAGTTGAGAAACACTACAGGAATGGCGAAGTTCTCGGATACAAGATCTCGTACAGGATCCTCAAACAGAATGCCAAGCCGCAAGTGAAGGTCATCGATGCGGGCGTCGACAAGAACGTCTACTCGACCACCTTGACCGAGCTCCGGAAATTCTCCACCTACTCCATCCAGGTTTTAGCCTTCACGGCCGCCGGCGATGGACCTCTCAGCCAGCCAGTGCTGGCGACAACATTCGAAGACGGTGAGAATTTTAGCCACAGCGTTATCAGCACGATTATTGATGAACTTAAATTCTTTCCGATGCTTTTACGGTGAAGCTTCATGCCTCCTCATGTCTATCAATTGTTAATTGATAATTATGGATTGTCAATTTTATCTTGCAGTCCCCGGCGAACCATCAAACGTTTCATTCCCTGACGTCTCGACGACCAGCGCGCGGATTATCTGGGATGTCCCAAAGGAGCCCAACGGGGAAATTCTGGGATACCGTGTTGCCCATGCGCTTCTCAAGCAAGGCATCGAGCTCACATTCACGAATAAGGAAGTCACCCCGATGGATCGTACGTTGAAGGTGACTGGATTGAGACCGAACGAGTATTACGTGTTCTCCGTATCTGCGCGCACAAAAGAAGGATGGGGACAAGAGGTCCGGGCTCAGGTGCTCACGACGTCTTCGCGAGAGAAGCCACGTGCACCTTCAGCACCGATCATAAACCCAACTCAAGTTCAGGCTCGTCAGTTGACTTTCACGTGGGCTCCGGGAGCGGATGGCTACGCCCCGCTCCGTTACTATCTAGTTCAGCAGTACGAGCCGTACTCACACAAGCCCTGGAGAACTCTGCCGACTAAAATTGACCCGCAAGTCACCAGCTTCACCGTGACCGGGCTCAGACCCTCCACGGTCTACCAGTTCCGGCTCGAGGCGGTCAACGACATCGGTTCGAGCGGATGGAGTCCGGAGTCGAATCGAACCAAGACTCTACCGGCTCCGCCGGAGAAACCTCCGAGTGGGATCGTCGTCACTCCTTACACCACGACATCGATCACGGTCACGTGGACACCGCTTGACGACCAGGACTGGAACGGAGACACCCAGACGCAGCTGAGGGGGTACAAACTGGTGGCGTGTTTGATTTCCAACGGCGTTGCATCTGAATGCCGCTCTGAAGACGTTCGCGGACAATATTCGTACAATCGAACTATCGAAGACCTGGTGAAGGACCGGGACTACGAGGTGAAAGTCTACGCCGTGAATGCCCAGGGGGAAAGTCCTCCGAGTCGGACCGAGAAGGTAGCCGTAGGCGAGGCCGTTCCCACGGGTAGACCCCTTTCCGTCCAAGCCGAAGCCATCTCTTCCACGGAGATAAGAGTCACCTGGAAATCGCCACCGAGATCAGAACTGAACGGTGCTCTGCTCGGCTACAAAATATTCTATTCCGCGTTCCGTACGATCAACGGGAGCGCCTGGAGAGAAATGAAAGAGGCCGTACCCGTAGAACCCACCCACTACACCCTCATGGATCTGGAGAGCTTCACGAACTACTCGATCCAAGTCCTCGCTTTTAACCCGGCCGGAGACGGTCCCAGATCCGATGCCCTGATTGTCCAAACCCAGGAGGATAAACCCGGTCCCGTGACGAATTTGACGTTCAGCCAGATCACCATGTCGTCTCTGCTCGTGTCGTGGCATGCGCCGCACAACCCGAACGGAGTTATTCAGAACTATTTGCTCACATATGAGACATCAAACTCGCAAGGCAACGAATTCAGTAAACAGGTCCGACAGAAGCTCAATGTTACCTATCTCCACGTCAGCGGTTTGCGGGAGTACTTAACGTACACGTTCAGCGTGAGAGCGGAGACCATCTGTGGCTATGGACCTGTGCTCAGCAAGAACGTGACAACCGGTCCTCAGGAAAACTCTCCCGAAGCGCCGACGGAGCTGTTTCTCAAAAGCACAACGATAAGCACGACGTTATCTTGGAGGAATAATTTTGGCGGTCAAGGCCCGATAACTGGTTACCTTATCGAAGTCAAACCGGCAACGTCGAACAACGAGGAAGAACCGTGGCATACCGTTGTGGCTCTTGACAACGGAGCTCAACAGAGCTACACATTATCGTATCAAAATCTTCTGCCCTCGATGGGCTACAAGCTGAGACTTATGGCGCGTAACAATTTCGGTGTTTCGCGGCCGGTTTACGCAAGAGACATCGTGGAAACTCCGAGTGAGTATGCTTCTGTCTTGTTCACGGTTTACGATATTGAAGCTTGGGGTACAAAATGTCCGGCAATTTCTAATCGACTCTCATGCCATAACGATCCAATCCCTCCTTCCAGACAAGTATTATCTTGAGCTCAAGCGATCGATGCCTTTTTATCGCGAGGTTTGGTTCCTCGTTATGGTGGCGATCACGACAACGATCATCATCATCTTAGTCGCTACCATACTTTGCGTCAAAGGCTCAGCCTACAAGTACAAACGTGAGTATTGAGGATAATGATCGGTAACGCAGCTCCAAAGCAGGGTGACTCGAAGAGCCGGAGCGAGTATTCAATCTGTCGTCGACCAGCAGAGTGATCATAGGGACAGCTGGGGCCCAAGATTTTCCGCCTCGAGGAATCGGCTGAGCCCATGTACATATACGGAGAGCTTAAGATTGTAGAATACCCTATAAGACCCACTTCCATCGTTCCCCATTGCCGCTGAAGTGGAACATGATTTCCACGGATTTCCGAGAACCGGAGTTCCCGTAGCTACCATCGGTACGAGGTATAAGGGAGCAACAATGACTTCGGAATTCACGCTCGCCTTTTCTTGATTTGATCGAGGTCTCCCCGCTCGACTCGTTTTGTTTCGCAGTTTGCATCGGATCGTGATACTCTAGGTCGTCTTATAATTAGTTCTGGGTTCCACACATTTCTGTCCGGGAGCGAGTTTCAGTTAAAGCATCTCTTCTTCATTTTGTCTCCCATTGCAGATCTTCTCTTACGTGAGTTGATTCTATTGAATTTATGGGCTTTTTTTCCGAAATGTGTTCCCTCACCTTTCCGTTTGTTTGAGCGACTCCGCGAACGTGTCTGGCGTGAATCTTGCACTTCGATTCAATGTGTGCTCTGCGAATGGAGAACAAGCGACAAGCATGCTTCGGTTTCCAACGATTTTTTCCCCGAACCCGAAAACCTTACCTCATCCCATCGAATCCTGAATGCTTCGCTCTTGTATACCCAGTTATCCGTCGCTTGTGTCTAGCTGCCCGAGTTCTCGTGGTGCTGCCGAGCAGCAAATCCTCAATTCACTCTGTTCGGGTTGCCTGAGTGCTGATATTGTGCTCATGAATCTCATCGGACCGTCTGTAAATTTTGCAGAGGAGCTCTTGGAACGGGAGGAAGAAGCGATGCGAGCCTCGCATTCGGCTCTGGACGAATCCACGTTAGCCGCGCTGGAACTCCGACCCGCGGCTGGGACCCTCCCATTGCCAGCTTCGCATAGGAACACTTTGACCAGCAATACTGGCAGCGTTCGTCGTCGCACGAACAATAACTCCACGCGACCAAAATACGTCGGGTACGTATTTTGTGTTATAGGGGACACGTACAGGACAGATCGAATACCAGTTTCTGACTTTGTATTCCTTTACAGACCCGCTTCGGTGACTTATTCGGACGAGGAGGATGACGTCAAGGGAGGGGGCTACGACGACGAATCGTCGTTGACGGAAAAGCCGTCAGATCTCGGTGACACGGACTCTGAGAGTGAAAGCCAACGAGGGGGTGCGACGTCTCGAGCGCATTCTTTCGTCAACCACTACGCGAACGTGAACGACACATTACGTCAGAGCTGGAAACGACAGAAAATCGCTACAAAGCCTCCACCGAGCTATTCCGACCAGGAGGACTATCCGGCAATGTCGTTCGATCCGTCCGCACAAACTCCCGGACCGTCGTATCAAGGAACGATGCAGTCCGCATCGATGAACGGGGGACGAGTCGTTCTCAACAATACGGCTGGATCCAGGGCCCCGCTGCCAGGTTTTACATCATTCGTTTGAACTATCATCGGATCGCGTCAGGAGAATCTCGCGGACGACAATCCTTTCACACCTAATTTAAAATTTGATTGTGTACATGAATGCGGCAGAATGTTCTGGAGCCATCGATTTTCATCGCGTTTGCCCCGTGATCATCATAATCATTGTCATTTCGCTTCCCACACGCTCAGCCGATGGATGGGAATCGACTGCCAACGTCTTGTACGTGCATTTACGAAGCTTTATCGTTAACGACTCGGTTCGAGGAGTTGGAATGGGATCAAAGTTGAATCAATCGTTCGATGGATGTTTGTGAGGAAGATTAGAAAAAATTCCAGAGTACTTGAAGGAAACTGCATTTTAAGCGAAAGATAGGTGTTAGATTTTCTAGTATGGAATGAGTGCTCGGGAAACTTGTGAACCTGTAAAAAAATAGAATTTGTACACAGAGGGCTTGTACAAAACCATTCGAATGGCGTGTCTATGGCTTCTGCGTGAGAATGTGTCAGAAATGTATTTATTCTGAGAGGCACGATGCTTCCGCAGAACGAATCACGGATGGAGGGAGAGGAATGTCACCAGTCCTCGGTCACTTATTCCTTCGGATAGATCTATCAGGGAACACTATGTTCTCGAGGGAAATGCGAATAAGGTGTAAATTCCGAGGAAGAGGATTCGATAGACCGAATAGCAACTGCCAACTCGATAGATTCGAGATAGGAGAGATAGATTTAACATCAAGCCACTCTGTACAAACAAATGCCGTAAAATTTTCTGTACCGCCAGCTCCGTTGAGGGTAACGAACCCCGTATAGAACTGGAATGCTCATGCACCCGGTCGATTCAGGCACTCCTGCGGTAGATAACTTGTACATAATCTAAGAAGTTTGTCGAAAGAAAGAGAAGAAACGTGCTGGAATCGATTTCGGATCAGCGAGGATGACCGGAAGGGAAATTGTGACGATCTTAGCCAACGTCGAGACTAGAGTCATGTCGCAGAAATTATACTGTTCGCTCTGTGCTTTTCTCGGAAATGTTGTTCGAGATACACGAACGAATGAAAAGTGTCAATAAAAGATGTTCATAGTAGAACTCGAGCATTCTTTCCCCGCAAAGACCCGGATTTCCGCGGAATCATTCTTGTTCCCCTGTCTAAGTGGATTTGGATAACTTTGATCCTGCCTATCGCTGTGGGTTATCCTTCTGGGCGTTCGATCATTTTTCCCGCGGTTCCCCCTGCAACCTGATGAGCGCAACAGCTCGATCCGCGCTGTCCCAAGTCAAGGCGGCAGTATCCAAGTCTCACGCACGGTCACCGAGCGCTGAATCATCAGAAATTGTTCGCCCGATGCCGAAAGTGCTGGTCCATCGGAGGGTGCCCCATGTTGGACCACAAACCGTATGCAGAAACTGATGTGAATTTATTGGACTCCCCGTTCACTTTTCTGCTCAAGAGAAAATTGCAGAGACGAGAATTCTCCTTATCAGATCGATGCTCCCAGCTCCGATCGATAGGATATCGACAACGGAGCATGCACTTATCGTACACAAGTATACACAAATCTCGACCATCTCAGTTGCGGGTTCAACGCATGTAGGGATGCGACATTCCCCCGCCGCTCTTGATGTTCGTCTTGATCGTGGCCGTTGGCATCTTGCCCCCACCAGATTGCGGGGCAGCCATCGAGCCTCCTCGAGAACCTCCCGGTCCCATCGGGCCGCCAATCGGTTTTGGGCTATTCGTTCCGAGGGCCCCACTCCCGTGAGGTCCTGGTCCTCGCACACTCCTGCCGCTGTAAAAGATAAGCCATTCAGAAGTCTGTCACTGGGTCAGGGGAAAAGAACTCAAGTGACATGGCTGACGTGAATTTCCGAATCGGAAGTTCCCCCAATGCCCAATCCATCCATCACTCACCCCAGAGTTGCGCTGACAAGTACGGTAGTTTCGCTTGCTATACAACTCGGAGGGGCTCTACTCGATGCATCCACGTCCCAATCGTCACGGCTCGAACGAATAATTTCACAAGCATTCTGAGAGATTCTATTATGTGCCACGATAAGTTTCTGTGTTGCTTCTCCGGTCATCTGAGACGCTTTCGCTGTGATTGCCTGAAAATATCGAGGTGGAAGGTTGAGTTCGACGTCCAAAGAATCCCACTCTGCTCTGATCGACGGACTTGACAAGTCACGCGAAATACTTCGCAAAGGAATCTCAATCAAGAAAACTCGATACGGATATACCTGATCTGCGGCTTCGATCTCCGGATCGCACAGGGTTCTCAAATAGTCCGGAACCGCTTGATGATTGAATAGAGGAACGCGACCTTCGGTGATCCGCTGCAATTCCGGATCAGGATCGGGCGATACCAGCAGCGGAAGGATGATCCGGTTCCGTAACTTGGGAATCTTGTCACTTCGGAGGACCTGGAACGGGCGAATGAGTACATGGGCGCTCCCATCTCATTGACAGCCAGATTGAACCAGTGGGCGGGATCGAGGGGATTGGCGAAAACCACCTTCAGTAGGTTGCTCATCTGTCCCGATATGAGGGCGAAGTTGTCGAGTACGGCTGGCCATTGCAATGTTTCGTACTCGTTCTCCAAACGGCAGATCAGCTGTTGAATGTTGTTCTTGAGATCCGTTGTCCGCAGGAGAAGAGCATCAACAACCTGATCGACCTGAAATGAGACGGGGACCGTGGAACATCCTCCTCTCCAGGCTTCCTGTACACGGGGTAGAAAACTCCATAGAGTTGTGATTCCTCCTCCAATTCCTGTATGGAGCTCGAGCAGGAGTAACATCCGAATAAACTCAATGGGGAATCCAGAGTTTTGCAGTCCGCACACAGAGATCTGGATGTTGGGAGCTCTCTCAATGGATATCTCTCCTCATTCGTTCTGATCTTTGCATACCTGCTTGTCCTCCTTATCCATGTTGCCCGAAACGAAACTGTTTGCGGCACCACAAGCAACAAACAGCCGGCAGCAGACTGCGGTGAATGTTTACTCTGGAGTTCTGGAGTCGAGTCCTTAAATCGCGGACCAAAGCTTAGGCGTCGGACTTGACTCACGATGATCAGGGTGGTCCGCCGGCGCCGTTTAGAATAGGATTCGGGATTCATACTCATAATAATCAGTCTCACTACCTATTACCCATGACATTACAGCTTTGTCTTGTATGTGTGATCTGCGCTGATAGTTTCCGCTAATTCAGGAGCACGCATCAAGCGGGAGAAGTTCGGACTCAGAAAGGAGTGAGGGAGTCTGATATGGAAACTCTTTGTGGTAGGCAGTAACTTACTTATTAATACTTATGCAACTGGTATGAGGGACGACCTGCGGATTGAACGGCGGAAGCGAGCTGCAAGTAGGCATCTGGTTGCGTATACCTGCGCTGGACCGAAATGGGGCTTTTTCTAGTGATACATGACGTCTAGTGGACTATTTTCGAATAGATTCTCCGCTCGAGTTGTCCTTGTCGGATCGGGTCGGATTTCAGCAGCAATCGACTCCCCCATGCAGACGCGTCATGGGATCGAGCTTCCCAGCGCGGAAGCTGAGTCTCGAAGCCCTCCCGAAGTGCTACCCACGTAAACAAGCGCTGCTCCCCTCATGACTCTGTGTCTTTATCACAGATCCACACGCCTCCCATTCCAACTCGCGATGACTGCCGTGGGGGAAGAGGGACAGCGAGATCTGAGAAGAACTTCCACTGGGTTTATACCGACTTCCAGTTTCGCCGGAGCCGATGGAATCCGTATTTCTGCGATTTCGTTCTGTATGGCGAGGCTGGCGGCGTAATCATTCGAATCCATTTCCGCTCCCCAAGCTTCTCCGGGGAGGCCTCTCCTCGCGCGACTACTGGGCAAAGATGTCGAGGAGGTGATGAGGCATTCCTCGTACCTTCCAATCGTTTTGCTCTTCCACAATTATCGAGTCTGTATATAGATTGATGGTTTAAGGCGCTTTCCTTCAAGATCCTGCCCTGAGCGATGTTTGAGACTGAATAGCGCATTGAATGCCGACGTCGGAAGCGTTGAATTCCCTGTTTCTGGTAACGGTGACCGCTCGACACGGCCTCATGAATGACTCATTCTATTGAACAGTAGGAGGTATCGAACTCCACCTGGTGAAACCAAAGTTGGGCCGATTCGGAGAGAGGTCCTAGAGGACTGTGTTCGAGAACCTCACTCGCAGTGTGTTCCCCTACTGCTCCATGACTCCGCAGTCTGAGCGAGGGTATTTGGCCTGGAGCTGGCTCCTGATCGTATGTTCCGTCGACTGAAGACAAGTTGCCGTCATTGTGCCGGAAGTTCAATCGGTGTCGGCGCCACCCTTTTAGACATACGGAGTTGAAATTCGCCGATCGGAATCTGGCATGGCTCCGCACGGTGTATGTGGAAGGTTTCTCGTCATCTTTCCGAGGATTTCGGGAGCAAAATCGAGGCTCGGTAGAACCCGTATGCCGCTTGCATTCAGTTCACTAGCAGACATGCGTTTGAATTGTTTCCGTGCGTATGCATTTCAACAACCACCAGGATAGCCCCGGAGGGAAGAGCTCGGTTCGGAGGTCTCGCACGGGCGATTGCGCGGGACAAATCTCAAAAAAGGGCCATGCGGAAAGCTAGATCCCAGCTAATCCATGGTTGATCAGAAAGCCAAGCTGCATGAAGTTTGGATCATACGGAGTGTCAGCACCCGAAATTCATGCTGGCTCCGACTGGGTTCCCCCGATGCTCCCGACAGAAAGCCTCGGACCTGGGGTCTTCCTGCCGCGGGTCTAAACCGCTGTCTGAGGTCATGACCGATGGTATCCGATGGCCTCGCCTACCCTTATCCCGAGATTGCATGTCACGAGTCTCGACTCATGACTTCCTTCGAGAACGCACCGTTTCGGCAGGGATGAGTCGCTCCAGTTTTCCCCATTCTTGATCTCGGTGTTCTCTTCAGACCTGTTCCGGTCATTCACTCAGAAGCTGGGGACGACATCAGCGGCCGGGAGGCTACGACGATGAGTTGTGAATCCGGAGGAGGAGCCGTCAGATCCCGGGGAAACGCACTCTGAAAGAGAGAGTCAACGGGGCGACGCAAGGTCTTGGGCGCATTCTTCTGTCAATCACCACACAAAACGTCGCACCAGAGTTGGAACCGGCAGAGAATCGCCACAAAGCCTCAGCCGACTTGTTCGGACTTGGGGGAGTATGTGGCGGTGTCGTTCAGGCCGTCAGCGAAGACGTTGGGAACGTCGCACCCAGGAGAAATACGATCCGTTCCAATCGAGGGAGGCTCTGTTCGTTCCAGGCATACGACCAGGAATATTGCGTATAGGCTTGAATTCTCCAGTCTACTCATATACGGGAGCGCATCGGACGGGGGACACCCCTGATCTCTTCCAGGGACTCTGATGTGAGGAAGTGAGTACATTCCGATCAAATACCGAGCACTACCAGGAAAACATGAACCAGGCTGGGAAAGAAGAAGAATTGCGTCGATTGCTTCGGGCAGCAGGAGATTCGCTAACCAGCCAGAATTTTGCGCCAGTCGGGTTCCACGAAAGAAGACAATTTTTCACCTCGATCGAATTTTGTAAGGTCGACATTCAGTCATAGGGTCGCCGAGCGATTTTCCCAATGTCTAGAGTGTGAAACGAGAGAACTCCCATGCTCAGCGTCGAAGCTCCAGCAGGGCCGAGGGGAGCGCCTAGATCCGAGATGTGGGGGACGTGTGAGATAGAGACATATGATTTGGACTGATTGTGAGTAGCGGAAAGTAATCATTCGTTTCGCTGCTCGTGCGACCGGCACAACTTATTACAGTAGGCTGACTCGCTTTCGGAGACTGATGCCCATGCCTTTCGTTATCGGTGGAGCAATCCAACACCGAAAACCTTGATCACCGAAACGAACGTTGACGCCAATCAGACCCAAGTGTCGTTATTCGCTGAAGGAGGCTTTGTTCGATCTGTGTCGATTTGTTTCGCGAATAGATGCCAGATCGATGAGCGGCGGTGCCGAGCAGACAAGAAAGTTGAACGGAGTGATCTTCAGCGGACGAAACCGCAAGTTCAACCCCCATCGAGCAGCGTAGGTCCAGGGGTTCGAGTGATTGATTCGCCAATAATTCGACAATATTATCGGATTGCGGTCTATTCTTCACCATGGTTATTCCGATTTTTTTCCGAAGGATCGCGCATTGCTCGAGCCTGGAGTTTCAGTCTCCAATACGAGGCGTCATCGTGGAGAAATGTTCCCGATGCTATCTTCTTGCCATCATTCGACGACGCTACTGTTGCCAGGAATCTATTCTTTTGTTGAATACATTCGTTCACTGGGCTGCGAAACCCTAGCAGGAATCCCGGGACCGCGCTCCCTTCATGATAGAAGTCGAGATGTTTGGTTAGCCTCAAGATTTAACAATACTCATACAAGGTCCTCCAACGTTCGAACCAAGTGAAAAAAGGCTCGAATATCGTGTTCCATCCTGTGAGGAGGAAGTCCTTGGACAAACAGCTATGCATTTAAGTAGTATCCTGATCACTTTTTCTGTTCGAAAGAACATTCAAGTATTCCGAAGTCATCAGAATATCGCCGGATTTCGCTTGAGTCCCCTGAGCGAATAGGATGCCTCCAGCACCGATATGGAGATGGAGAAAGTCGAATTTCAAGATCAAGGAGCTCATCGGTCTGCATATCAGCATCGGGCAGTCCGTCGATTCTTCGAAAATCTAAACGGGTCGGAGCTTCTCCTTACCCCGGAATCTCAGTCGGTCTCTTTTCTGGAGGAATCATCCCGAGGAGCGTTTCGAGATCTCCAGGGAGGATTAGCAGTTCCAGGAGTCTCTTGGCATTCATGATGATGACACTGATTTTCCCCCTAGCGTCGAGTGTTTCCTCCCCGGGGCGATCTTCCTCCGGGACTGGGGTCCGATAGAGATGGAGGATGAAGCTATTGCTGAGTGTCGAGCATGGCGGCGCGACGTAGCCTCGAGATCCCCCCCCCCCCAAGTTGAGCGCAATGCTGCTTCCTGATCCGCTCGGGTGCGTCAGCGTTGCTGACGTCGAGGATGATGTCGGGAGCAGAATGTCATCGACGTCGTTTTCATTCTGCTCGGAAGATGATTAAATTCTGTGCTCGTTGAGAATGAAATTGCATGCTCTGGAGAATGAGACTTGACCCTCGCGGTAGAAAATAGAAACCTCCCACGGCTCGTCTCGTGGCATTTAATCTCGGGTCCCATCAAGCTCGGACTTGAATCTTGCCGAAACCTCCACTTTTCACTCAGATAGATGAAGAGGTTCTGGGCCGCTCTGGCATTCCTCCTACGTCCGAGTCTCGGATGCCGAATAGATAGTTCCTCATCAGACCTGTGGTGGCCAATTAGTACGATTAGGCAGGGAGTCAGTTGTTCCAAGATAGATTTATTTGTTGTTTTTCAACAATTTCACTCTTCATTCTTCACTACACGACGGTATACACATTAGCTGCGCCAAGCCGTTCCTTCTGGAAGTTTGAACAGGGCGTGCGAGAACATCACTTCACGTTATTTACAGATCGGTCAACTGTCTACCATCCACCACCGGAGGATCCTCCGTGTCCTCCCGACTGCTGCTGCTGCCATCCTCCACCGTGTCCGCCTTGCTGCTGTTGTTGTTGTTCCTGCTTGACAATGAGGATCTTGGCCTGGCCGCCTCCGCTAGATTGTCCTCCGGTACGGGAGAGGACCTGGCCTCCAGCGCTTGTGGTGGTGATCTTGTGGACCGACTTGATCTCCTGGGTAGGGCCAGAGATAGTGTAAGTGGCTCCTCCGCCTGAGCTCTGGTGACCGTGAGACGCTCCTCCGCCCAAGAGTCGGGCGAGTCCTACGGCCGAGAGGGCGGCGTTGTCCTCATCCTGTCCCTGGTTGCCGCCGTGACCACCACCACTTCCTCCGTGTCCTCCGAAGTCACCGCCTCCGTGACCACCACCACCACCACCTCCACCGAGGAAACCGCCGAACGCGACGTGGGCTACCAGAGCAAGAACGATGAAGCTCTTCATAGTATTTTTCAGTGAAATTCTGTTGGCTGTAGCAATAGGCTGCGGCTCAGGCACTTTTATTACGGGCCCGCATCGAAAGGAGGAGGAGAAGGAGACGCCGTTGGTGGGCGCAGCTTAACCCAAGCTAAAGAACGTCTCTCTTTCCAATGTCACTGAAAACATTTGTCTCTGGTTTAGTGCAGCGGCCGCCGCCGCGGCCATCACCATCGCTGCCACTTCTGCTGTTGTTGCTGTCGTCGTTGTTCTAGCCGATGTCTTTCGATGTCGTTTTGTTCGTTGACGTTGTTCAGCATCTTGGCTTCGTCAAATAAAACCGGAGCCAATCGGGGATTAAACATACATAGCTTGAAGACCATGACTGAAAGGAAATTTGCTTCGAAGAGACTCGATCGGAGCTCCTCGAAGACTTGCGGGCATCTGGCGTCGAGGGAAGGTCGACGAATTTGAAGAGGCGCGAGTTCTGGTCGAAGGAATCGAATTGGGGGGAACAAGTGATTTCGAAATGTCAATGTTAGTGTGGCTGGTCTGATCCTTTGCTTATCGGATCGTCGAGCCTCTCCCACGGTAGAAACTTCAATCAAATAATGCTCTTGATGACCGAGCGCTATTGGGGACATTGGGGCGTTGTAGGGGTTCGCAGTGTTTCAACATATCGCGATCCTGCGGGAAAAAATTCACACCTGAGCCGCCCACGAAATCGTCGAGCTCACGGATACTGATGTTTATCCGTCACGCCGACGCGCCGTCGCCCACCTAATGCTAATGGAGATTTAGCACCGCAATGTAAACGACCGACATCCATCACAGCGGCCGCCGCGCCGCGACGAAGCTATCCCATCGCGACAGAATTATTCCATTATTAACGATAAGCCTGCCTTGGACTTCGCACCATTTGACCAGAAACCCTGTATCGAAGCGAAGGGTGGTCGAGAGCTCAATGCTTCGGACATGTCTCGTGCTTATGAGCGTTCCGCTCTCAGGAAAGCCGCTTCCATGTCACGTCGTGACTTCCTCCAATGTCGAGACGCTGCTCGAGCCAGCGCTCGCGTCGGGACTGTAGCGGAGCCCAAGCGTTATCCTTCCCAGTTCCAGGCCTCTGGACATCTGAATGCGAATTGACTACCTACCTCTGGTTGAGGCTCGCGATCATCTTTCGGCTTGCGGTGCAGCTCAGACGATACTGACCCATACTTGATGGAGAGTTCGTTCGCTTCCGGGGGAATTTTTTATGGCGCGACTTGTCATACGGTTTTCCGGACCGGCCGCAGGTCTCCTCGAACAGCCGCGAGCTCAGCCGTACCGATGCGACTCAATGAAATCGTTTGCTGGGGAACGACCGTTAGAGTCGCATCGAGGTGCATGATTTTTCTGCTCAGCTGTAGCAAGAGCCGCATTAAATTATGAGTGAATTCTCTCGGCTCTGTTCGAATGACCCCGGAAGCTCTGCACTGAATTATCGCCGGAAATTTTCGCACGGGTCGAAGGAGACGGGAGTCTCGAATCGATACGATCAGACATCCCCTCCGTGAACTTGCGATCAGAAGAGGGAGGTTCTGATAGTGAACGCCTTGTACTGTTCGTAAACCGATGCGGATAATTATTATTCCCAATGGCATTGAAATGTATCTCTTTTCGCCGCATTCGGATGTGCTGGTTCGCTCGTCGTGCGTCTAGCTGAAGTCGGGTCCCGAGCCCCCTTCAGATAAAATATCGCTTCAGATACTGTACATACAAGCAGGAGTGCTGTTCATTGTCAATAGTGTGTATCGGGTGCCGTCTCGAAGCCGCCAACGAGGTGAAGGACTCATCGGATAAGGACAATAGCGTCGGATAAGCACGCTTCGTACTGAGTGGAGTGATGTAGGAAGGTCTGATCAATAGTCACCGCTCTCGGTGCGAATTCTGCGGATAGTGCGAAGGTGACAGAATCCTACAGCATCCAAAGACTTCGTCGAAACCACGTGCGGGTATCCCATTGGGTCGGCAGCAATCGCTCCCCGAGCATGCTGATATCTCACTCCAAATATTTCCGATCGTAATCCCCCATTATCCAATCCATCAGGTGAGGTGGGGAAAAAGAGGATTCGGTTCCTATGTGAATAATCATATGGCGTGCCCATTCATATTCTTCAGAATTTCCCGATCGATCTTCTGGCAGCCCTTTGTTTTATGGACCACGATCCCTTTTGCAAGCCTCTTGAAGAGTCCTTCGCCTTCGGCGGAAGTGCGAAAACGAATTCGAAATTATCTCTGGGAATATTAATGATGATTCATGGCGTTTATCAGTTTTCAGCGTCGGTTCAACGGGTTAAGGAAGCGGCAGAAGTGAAGGTAGTTGCGAACCTTCCGAACAACATCAATGGAACACAGAAAATCTCATTCAACTGTTTTTCGATCCTCCATGAGAATTTCAACATTTATTTTCAGCACCGCGCCGTAGCAATACGTGCGCTGCTACACCTCCAAGTTCGACAGATGACAAAAACAGCTCAAGACCGACCGATAGTGTCCATCTGACTCCGCATCCTTCAAGGTCATATGATCTTTTCGACGGAACACATATGGGATTGAGGAATCGGTGTCGCTCACAGCCGGTTCCCTCAAGATGACTGACTGCTGGCAGTATCATAACTTTTTTTCGATTGCCGTAATTCCGAACTGATAGCTAATCAGCAGCGAATGTTGATCAGCATCCCGCTAATTGACACAATGCTCCCAATCAGTCGGGACGAGTCTATATACCTTTCCAAATTGGTCCTGAGATGTTGGGGAGCGATCAAGATCGCTAAATTTCCGTAGGGAGCCTTGAAAAGATATGCGGAAACCTATATCTCCAGTTTCGGACGTCGTTCATAAAAGATTTCTGCTCCCTACCGGAATCATCTGATCGTGACATTCCAGAAGTCCAGTACGCAATTTTTTTTTCCGGAGCACGATGCATGCTCACCATCTCCAGACTGCCACTGAATACGATGCCTCTCACACGAAATCGGCCCTCATGAAATCATTCGCTCCGTGGTCCCATCAAAAGAAACATGACGTTTTCGAGCGTTGCCGCATCGATCACATCGTGTCCGATCCTCATGAAATTTATCTCCGCCTTATCGCTTTCGGACAAGTTTCAAGGTTTTCGACGGTGGACGGCTGCCGAAACTGAAAGCTGTCAACGTCGTTAACGCTGCGCGCTTCACAATCATGATATTTTAATTTGCTCGACAAGATGATAAGCTATCTTCTTATGATGAACATTGATTTAAAGACCCTTCATGTGGTCTTGCAATTTCGCAGCTGATAAATCTTCAGTGAATTTCAGTAATCCGATAATGGGAGGGTGCGTGAGGAGCATACCATCATAAGTGGAATGGATTATATAGCTACAGATCCAGAGGGAGAGCGACGAGGAGGCCAATGGAATTCTCCTCCTACGATAGACTTCAAAGATCTTCCATGCATCATTGTGATTATCGATTATCACGTCCGGGTCCTCCCATTTCGGAGTCATTTTTGAGTTTGGTCCCAAGCTAGACAAACTCTGAAATCATCGCCCGTCGGAAGTTCCCGACGTGATTCAGCAAATGAGCCCCGGTCTCCTACAAACTAATGAATAATCAATACGTCGGGAGCCATCGGAGATGAGCTCCAGCTTCCTCGAAGTCCCACATCAACTCTTATTGTTTTTGATAATTGTCAATGCTCCTTCATTTCCTTCGTAGACTCTTTCGAGCCTCTCTCACAGAGGACTGTCGTGGCGGTGTCGTTTTCACTTTGTCTAGTTATAGTATCGGGCCAAGTTATACTCGGCACGGATAAGGAGTCACCGGTAGCCGGAAGACCGCCTTCGACTGCGGTCCATCCGCTCAATTGGTATTCCTTCAGCGAGCTTGCCAAATGCTGGCAGCCTCAATTGAGGCCAGTGAACTATCCCAAAATGCGATACTTTGGGGAATCATGGGAGGAAGAGAGAGAACTGTCGGCGAATGCACTAATGCTCAGCTTATGGCTTCACGAAGGAGTTCACGAGCAGGAGGAGAGGCTCCCGGAGTCGACATCGTGGCTCCCGTCCGACCTCGGCGATCAGAAGGTCTTGTGCATTGATCGAGCTGTATTCAAGGAAGAAGAGCCTCGAACGCCTTCCCCGGAAAGCGAAATCGAGAATTCAGGCGGCGGGGACACGAGCTCGAAGAATCTCGATCTTTCTCCGGGAGGATCTTCCCCCGGATCAGCCTGCTTATAAGAAGTCAAGTCCTCGATAAGAATCCTAGGCAACGCATCCCACGGGCTCGAGCAACGAGACATATATTTCCGAGCTCATGCCAGGGATATGCTTCTCGGTATTTAAACGTCCGCCTTCTTGTCCGGTAAGGCACCCGATCTACGAAAAACTTTGCGTTCGAGCGAAAAAGAATACTTCCCGATCAAATCGTAACAATCATAACGCCGGAGGGAATTCCTCTCAGAGCAATGATTCCAAAAATCGAGAAACTCGTCGATTCACTTGAATTATCCGTGGTTGGAAGCGCGGTGAAATTTTCAAATGGCAGAGAACGGTCATGCAACTTTCGACCGCACAATCGCTGTCGAAAAATGACTGACTCGTGCATTGAAGGTACCGAGACGAGGGAGCCTTTCCTTCTAGATATATACTAGTAGTTGGTTCAATCGAATATAGTCCGCTAAACTTCAATCAACTTCACGCTTTTGCTCGAAGCCAAATCATTGCGCAGGTCACGCTTTGACCTCAAATGTCAAAAAGAGCTCCCGAGGCACGGTCCGCGAGGAGAGCCGTCGTAACTTGATTCGTGGCGACCGCTCGTAAGTTCGATTACCATGCTCTCACTCGCCGTCTACCTGACTGTTCGATGGATTCGGTAGATTGAATGGGATATATATTGAGATAAATATCGGTTCCTCAGTCAGACAGTCCGTCCACTAACCTGGCAGGCTGGCGGAGCGACCGAATGTCCGTTCAACGGACACCTGCGCTGACCATCGCTCGTGAGCTGCGGCTTAATAATGATAAATGTTCAAGTGGGCCGCTCACTTTTGGAACAGCACTCGGAATAATTGAATCGGATCGTAAGACTGCCGTACGCTTTGTCGATCCATCTGTCTGTCGGTGCGTCTGTCCATTTATCCGTTTGTCAGCATGCCGGTGGGTTTGTCCCTTTGTGGGTACGACGGGATCGCGCACTGCTCCAGACCCTGGAGCTCTGAAGGTCTCTAGGACCGACAACTAATTAACATCATTAAATCCAGCTCGAAAACTTCGGATGTGATTCGAATTACATGCCGGACCCTTCAAGGGACCGACCCCGCGCCCTAACGCCGCGTGAGAGGCCTTTCGTCATTGGGCGTGATGAGAGATGTCGACACGCAAGAGCTTGTCATGGATTCGAGGTTATGCTTCTCCGAGAGGGAGCAACCCCGGTTTCAGAATATCAGCTCGGACCTGGCGGTTTCGGGAAAAATCTGACAAGTGAGAGAATCGGCTTCCTTTCGCCATTCCGCACCGGACATTCCGTGAGGGTTGCGCTCCAACGGTCTCATTGAATTTGTGTCACCATCGCATGGCGGGATTAAATAAAAAAAGAACAACGGAGAAAAATTTGCCAAGTAAGTGAGAAACACGATCCACCCAACTTCGACCTTGATGGTTTGCAGTTTTGCCGCGGCGCGACGGTCCATGTCATCGTCGTCGACGCTGTAACTTTCTGATCACTCCAATCTGTTTCGAGCTGACTGTCGACTGTGGCCGATGTTCGTCTGCGAGAGAGCGGACCAAGCATAAGCAAGAGAAAAAAGTCAACTGTGAGATGGTGATTATACTACACAGCAACAACAAGGCGTAGTTGTAACATCAGTCTTTCTGCTCTTTTGTGTCCGGATCGCTCGTGGATCGAGCGACAGGGCGGCCGGCCAGCGAGTCGGGCGAGCAAGCTACTCGCGGCTGGCTTGCCTTCCTGCAGACCAAGCGACGGTGCGCGTTGCGACAACGACAAGGTCCTTTGGCGCGCTTCATCACGGCCCGAATATACGCTTCGGCATTCGGCTATTATTTCTACAACAAGTTGGATCAGAATGTAATTTTCTAGGATTTGAAAAATATCGACAGACATTAATTCTGCATTTATCATGACGGAGCATGGCGGTTGTCGATCTATCGATTTTAGAAATGCCTCCCATCGGCAACTGAACCGTCAGCGTGCCGCGGCACACCCAGATCGGGATCGATGTGACGTCCCGCCATCGGTTTTGTTGTGTTTCTCTGGGACTCTCTCCGATTAGTTCGATACGGCAATCCGATTCTGGGTGGGGCGTGAGGTGTGAGCATGTTTTTGAGTCCTTCCAAGTGATCCTTGACCCCCGACTGAAGGGAGCGCCTGCCACTGCAATGAGCGACTTACCGGATTGATGATGGAACGCTATCAATTGCATTCCCCTCAATTGAGCAGCAGCCGGCTTCTCGCGAATAAAGCCATCGTCTTCGGCGATTAGCTTCAGAAAATCGACGAAACTCGCGAAGAAATCTCGCGGTGATGACCTTCAACCCCGAGGCTGACGCTTCGAACACTCACAAAATCGTTTGATCGCTAGATCTCCTAAACGATATGGACAGCGGCCTATTGAGTCGAAAAGTCCTATTCTTGAAAGATCCGATCTCCTTGGACGCACAGAAACTCGCCTGAAAGTAGCTCGACTATTGATTCGATCCGACTGAAAATATACTTGATTTGCGAATCTTCGTCATCATTCTCGGACAATCGGGTCAAGTCTCCAATCGATTCGGAACCTCCGAACTGATTGCGGGCGTTGCAACAGCGTTGTTAGAAATCTAGTGAGAAAATCGGGAGATCTCGTCTTCCGGTAGCGGATATTCTAAGGCCTCGTTCTTGATTTATTCGATCGGTATCGAATTCGAGACGAGGTTTATTGTCTCGGTGGAGAACTCTCGGTCTCTGGTCATCGACCTCCGGAATGCCGTACGGAATCCCAGCTCCCGGCTGAGAGTTCCCGAGCGCACAATGTTCGGAAGAGAAATTTCCCTCTGTCAAGTTCGATCCCAACAAGGTCCCGTGCGATCAAGCTTGGGAAAGAGCCACTCTGTCAGTCAAATGAACGCTTCCCCCCATGATGAGCTTGTAAGAGAACCCGATCCGGTATTCAGACGATTTTCATCGACAAGGTCGGGGTGAGAATGTTTTATAATTAATTTCAAATAAATCTATCAAGACATTGTTTCACACAGGGAACTCGGGACGAAATTTTCAAACGGTGCATCGTATCGAATGGATTTGTGCGAACGATTCGTTTCGGTAGGAAATCCGCGCAAGAAGCTTTCGGGAGTGACCTAGACAGGTCGAATCACCAGAAAAAAACACAGGAATCTGCATAAGACCCTGAGAGCAATAAGATTCGGAGAAAGCTATACAGAGATGAATCCTCATGAAGGTTCGCCTCGAGTCTCTAGATGCATCTTCGCTGCGAGAAACCCCATGTTGGCCTGTTATCGTTCCCCCGGGATTAAGATTGGTGTTCCGGGAAACGAGATTCCCGGTTTTGACTGGAACTGAGCTCTGTTCGCAGCGAATCAATCAAATTCCAGCTCTATTCCTTTCATCCGAAACACAGATTCGAGAGGCTGGTGGCGGAACTCGCGTCGAGATTCCGACACATCAGGCCGCTTCCCATCTTCGGCTTCTGGCTCTTCCACGCGTCTGCTTCCGTGACCGTATCCAACCCTTGTTAACCGAAATGTATGGTCCACGAAAGCCCGAACCAAAGTTCTGCTACAGGGGGGAAGAAGAGGCTTCGGTCCCTCCTTGCTCTGAGCGAAGAACGTGTTTAGAGAAACACGAAGCAGAAGATTAAAGCTGAGGGCTCGAGAGGCTCGGAGCGGAATAATCGACGATTCCATGAGAGGAAGGAGTCGAACGCAATAGGGACGACCTCGGTTTGGGGTCAATACTCAGTAGCTTATAGTGATATGAAATGGCGCACTCCGACCGTTTCGTCGAGACCTTATTCCGAAATTTCTCCGAACGTTCTCAACGACAGGGAGACGGCCGCATCGGTACCGTTAGTCAGTGGGGAGAGCTACCGACCGTTCACTGTCCGGCTGCCGAACATGAAGGGGTGCCAGAAGGGTGACCGAAGCGAAGAAATACAAGAGCGCCAGCTCTTCAAGTGTGACAACTTGAAGCGCTGAAGAAATACCGACGACCTTGGATAATGCGAAGACAGACGCGGGCTGGTACAGTCAGGTGACACAGTGAATGTTCAAACAGCGAAAGTTCAACACATCCGAATTCGACTGCGATAGGAGTTCTGAGGGGTGAGGCTGAGTACTCTTCGCCAGAGCATCGAATGGTCAGCCATTATTGGAATCTGACATCGCCTCATCGTCTGAGGGGTTGTAGAGAAGTTCAAGATCCTAGGAAGACCGACCGCAACCGCATTCTGCGGGGAATGAGCCGGGCTGTGATCGAAACCGAGCAGAATAGCTTCGTCGTACGGACCAGTTCACGATAAGTCGATGCCAATATAACTTGAATATCGAGCCCGGGATAATCTGAACTCGACCGGTGCCACAACGTGGAAACCCTCAGGGAATCCTCGAAGATGAAAACTTCGAGGTTCATCAATGTTCTAGTCCCAATGTATTTGCGGACAACTCAGAATGAAGAGGCCATATCCTGTTTTTTTTTGTAGTGGCGAAGCATTCAGCGTACAGTATTCGTTTATTTACAAAAATACACACGGAATGTAAACGGCAACGACGAATCAATCCCCTAATACGATCGTCTTGTTGGTGTCTATATCCACTTCTTCCTCCTCATTTTCATTGCTGGAATCCACCCGATCCTAGCAATATACTCTGTGTAGAACACGTCTCAGCGGAATCCAAATCTGGAGAAACCCCGCGTAAGTGAGTATTGGCCTCAACACGTGCGACTTGTGGGTTTTCGCTCGAGGTTTTCCAAAAATGGGAAATCCCACTGGAACGTTCAGTTTGGCATCATAGCAAAGTCTAAACGAACTCTAAGGCCTGGTTCGATGTACTGAAGACAGTCGGGATCGAAGAAGCGAAGGAGGGGATTCAATAGAACATTCTAGTCTAGATGGGGGAGAGAGGGAATGCTTTGCGAGAATGATCTCCCTATTGCTGTGGCGAGGCTCTGGGATTACCATCCTCCGCCACCTCCTCCTCCTCCACCTTGTTGCCATCCACCTCCTCCTCCGCCACCTCCTCCTCCCTGCTGCCATCCGCCTCCACCGCCACCGCCTCCTCCGTGTCCTCCCTGCTGAATTTGAGCGGTTCCGGCGACCTTGGCGATGAGAACCTTAGCCTGTTGGCCGCCGCCTCCTCCTCCGGACTTAGAGAGGATCTGTCCTCCTTGATCGATGGTTCGGACTTGGTGGACGGTCTTGATGACGTGGGTGGGTCCCGCTACCGTTAGGGACCCTCCACCTCCGTGACCTCCTCCGCCACCACCACCCTTGATGATGAGGATTTTCTGTTCGCCACCTCCACCGCCTCCGTGACCACCGCCACCACCACCACCTTGTTGCCAACCACCGCCGCCGCCGCCGCCTCCACCCTGTTGCCAACCACCTCCACCTCCACCGCCTCCGTAACCACCACCTCCACCAGAGAAACCTCCGAAGACGGCCGTTGCCGTGGCCAAGAGGACCACAGAAACGAGGGGATTCATTGTTGCTTTTTTTTTGTGCTGTACCGGCTGTTGGTGAACAGCTCACAGCCACACACTGCTGAAACCGACTTCGACCTGACGCCTTAAATACGATCGGGACTCAACGGGGAAGACCTCCAGTCAACGTCAAAAGCGTCCGCCGACTGCGACGTCCGATGAAAGAGCTCACGGGAGAGAAAGGGCGTCTGGGTCGCAAACAGCGGCAAACCACCGGTAAGATCCGCGGCGGGGGCAAGATCTCTAGCACCGGTCAGTCAGTCAGTCAAACCAGCTGCGTAACTAGTCAGTCGACCGTGTGGTCAGCTTTCCCGTCTGCCATGACCACGGCGGAAGACGTCTTCGTGAATGCCGAAATCACACGACAAAATGAACTAGGTAGGATGAGTATCCGGACATGGGACGATGAGGAATCGGCCGATCGATGAGTGAACAACGAATTTTCGCGGGGGTTCGTCCAATCTAATCATTCGGAAGGAGAGCTCCCGCGAAGCCTCGAAGGGCCCGGTGAGCCTCGGGGAAGTCGAGTTCGACCGCGATCGAGAACCGCTGCTCAATGGACCTCGTCATCTAGCGTTAGGAGCGACCGCAGTTAGGATTTTCCAAACTCGGACCCTTCCGGGGCCGTAATGCGCTCAACACCGTCGAGGTATATGTTGGAAAGAGGAGATCCGTAGCTTGTTGTGTTGAACAGATTGAAGAGATTTGTTGATGACTCGAAATAATTGCTGAACGAGGATAAACGGCCAAGCGGTGCGACAAATGCGTCTGGTGACGCTCCCCATGAAAGCATGATGTTGATTTGTGTGATCGTGTATCAATCGGCGTAACATCGACGGCGAAGATTCACGGACGCTGGGAACGGAGAAAGCCAATTCAAATAGGATGTGGAGAAAAGAGCGCGAGAGATGTGTCCAATTCATTTGTTCTGGGAAACCTCCGGAACAAATATCTTTTAGGGTATATTTCTCGATTGAACCTTTAAAAATATTCATATTTCGACTCGGTCAGCTGCTTGACTGTCAATTATGGGAAAAAGCAAGGCTGAGTCTCGGAAGTTTCTCTGCGGGTCCCTCCGTCATTCCGAATTCGTGCTCATGCTCCTCAGCAACGGTATCATGTTGTCTTTTGCCTCCAATGGTGCGAGTTAGTCTTCCACGCAGATAATACACATCACGAGGCAGAGCTCATGATTTCGATAGTTTCAGCAGAAAGCGACAGTTAAGGGCTCTGGAACGTCGTGTTTCGTCGTTGTAGCCGTCGTCGTTTCTCGTGGTTTACAAACAGCAAAGCCGACGTGACGCGAGAAGACATTGAACTAATATTGCCAGATTTTCGAACTAGCGGACAAGCACACACGTTTACGAAGTGACAGCTACGTCAGAAAATAGTGGTGTGACATTGCCGTCTCTTTAATGTTGCAAGTATATCTCAGGGCCCGGGATTAAACTCGTGGCGACAATCTTTCGCTAGATTCCGTTGACATTAAAGATGTTGAAGTGCGCCTCTCAAGCAGATCTTTCCTCTCACGAGTCCCAGCCTCGGGGCGAACTTAACTCATCCCGGCGAGATCTTCACTTGAAGAACAAAATTGGGAGGACCCAGGGTTCAGGAATTCGGATACTCTCCTGCTGATCCGAGCTGGGCTGACATGTTCGGGAAATCCTCCATGGCGGCGCGGTCTGATACTGACACCTGCCACACTAACGAGCGATTGCTGAAATTCGCGATACAAGCTCAAGTTCCGAGGCACAGTCCATGCGTCGAAGTCGACGGTGTGAATCGTGGCGCGTCGCGTATGGACTCCAAGGTACGTTGGATCATTAGCCGCTTTCAATGGCTTTTGTTTCTTTCCAGTTGACTGTTGAATGGTCCCATCGATCGATCGTGCGACCGCGCGAGCAGCTCACACGCTTCATCCTTCGTCCAGGATGTTATTCACCAGTATTCTGGGCGGGCACAGGGTTCCGCCGCCGCGCTCCGACAAAACAAGATCGGCGCGGGTCAGAGTCATCGAGCTATTTGAGTGAAGCGGAGAATTCACAAGACGGGAAAAAGGAGAAGGAGAGTGTAATGCAATGTGGGCCTGAGGGTACGAGATCTATCGGTCCGCATTTGAACCGTGGTTGGAACCCATCGCGGGCAATCAAGATGTTGGAACCGGAGCGTTGAGCTGTGGAAGGTGATCGCCGGGACGGGTCTACAGAATTTCAAGCGGCAGAACTGCGGTCGGAACGACTGCAGAACAATTATGTAGAAAGCGATCGGTCATGTTGAAACGTTCTTGCTTCAATGCAAGTCCATTGTCGAACTTCCACGAAGGACCAGAAAGTTCGGACGGCTAGCGGCTGTCGCGTCGTTTGCAGAGAAGTCGACCACGACGGCGGGACCGGTGGTGATGACTGGAATGACCGATGCAACAGGCGGAGAACACGCTGGAGAAGAAATATAGAAGTCCAGACAGCCTCGCACCTTGACGGCGACAGCGAGAAAAAGTGATTATGTCAGCTTTTGCGCATCGTCAGCACCGAAGAGAATGAAAGCAGATTCGAGCGGATTAAGTTTCTTCGAAGCGCAGTTTCCATTCGAACTTCTTCATTCCCTTCGAAAATCCATCATCCGGTGATTTTTCGCAATTTCACTTCCAGATCTTTCTCCTTTGATTTCAACCACCTCCCCTACCCCCCCCCCCAGATTATCGGAGTTCCTCTAATCGTCTTTTCGGTCACGGATTCATTCGGGAGGCGTAGAAATTGAAACTCTCGGGTCCCATTGGGAGTCGTCGGTATGATGTTCCCTTTCAGATCCGGAGGAATCAGGAATTCGGAATCATTCTTCCGAAATTGAATGGAATAATGATTCTCAAAGTTCATGGGGGATGCGAGACATGATGTCCGAGGGACATACGAGCAAAAGGATGCACGGAACGACGAATGAAGTCGTTAGAGTCATCCGTGATAATCGTTCTTTTCGTTCTTCCATCGATAGGATTCCATCGAAATCGAATGTATCGGATATCAAACGAAGCCCCGATTCGCCTATTCCAACGCTGATGAATCTATGGAGCAAGATGCACCTTATGAAATCTCCCCGCTATCAATGAAGCATCAGATCAGAGAAAAAATTTGAAGCCGGGCACATCTTCTCCCGATCCTCGGTCAAGCATCACTCCCGACAGGGAAATTCGCCAAGAAGAAGAGCGCGGCCTCTGATGGTAGCTGAAGTCTACTTCTGATTGACTTCGGCGCAGGGGCGTCCTAGAGAGCCCCGAGTCCGATTGCTATTGACCCGGGAATCTGAACGGGGTACAACGGGAGAAAATTCAAGTGGGATGAACTCTCCGAAGAAGATCTCAACGCTCATCGACCTGAGCGATGCTCGCGATCCGGAGTGGCGCGACATCGGACCCCGGAAAGTGTCTTGAGTGATACGCAACTCCATGAGCCTTGTGTAACGCCCCGTCAGTGCAGCGAGGCTCTCGTTCGCCTGTTTCGACTCTTGCGTTGTCTTCGATGATCAATCCGCGCCATGAGTTCGCTCGTTTGCGTATTTGTGCTTGTGCGAGAAGAGAAACGGTTGAAACTATCAACGGCCCTGAAGTAGTTTGACTTTGGCCTTCCCCTTGCTCGACGAATATTCGTGAAGTCGATGTTGTGCGCTGAACGACGATCAAGTCCCTAGAGCTACTGCAGCGGCGATCGACGATGCGGCCGATTCGCTGAAGCGAACTTTTCTCGGCGAGGTCCGAGCTTTTTTCAATTGGTGCCAAGGTACAAGTCTGACGTTACGGGGCATTCAGTCCTGCGAATCCCGCAACGCCCCGTGGATCCATCCCCGTCGAACATTCCTCCATCGATTCATTTGTCGAACGATCGACAGCTGGCTTGTTCCTCCTCTACGGTTAAAGTGTTTGTTGTTATAATTGACTCGCTATCAAAATCACGCGGTCAGTCGTCCATTCGAACGGCGTCGGGCAAGCTCCGATCGAATGTCACGACTCCCGTGTGAGCTTTAGCCCCGCTCGCGTTCCAGCTTGCAAGCGACACGATTCCAAACAAAGTAAACAAACTACCCCAATTCCACTTCGATTGCGTAGCTTTTGAGTCCCTACGTTTTTCAACGCTCTATCGATTGCCGGTTCGCCGATTGGGCTCTTCGAGCGTTGATTCAACTTTCTGTGTGTGTGTGTCTGTCTGTCGGAGTGTTTATTCGTCCACGGGGTGTCCTTTCAGATCGATGGCGAAACGAACTCGTGGATGCCTTTCGACCTTAAATAGTTCAGTCGAAAGTGAAAAGTTCAGGCCACCGAATGCCCCGTACAGGATACGCAGTGTTTCTCTGTCCTCTGACTGATTGTATGTGTGAGGACGACTTTACGTCCGCGAACCAGGGGATTCTAGGGGGCCGGGTAGAGGTATGCCATCGTGGGTTTGTCATACTTCACATGCGGCGAGCACTCTATTTCGTCAACCGGCTTCGCTTCCGCGTCGTACGAGTCCGCACGGTGATTCCCAACGAACGCTTCTCTTTTCCCTCCCAGACTTGCCCCAGACGGTCATACAGTTCTCTGTATAAATCCTGCCAATGCTAATTCTAGATCCGTTCCTCCGTGGAAAAGCCCAATCGTCAGTTACCGATGTCGAAAGCTCCTCCAAGATTCTTGTTGTTGACCCGGATCAGTAAGTACCTGGATCAGCCGAGGGCGAAACATGCGCAGAATGATCAACGAGCGTGATCTATCTCGACTATCAAGGAAGTCAGTCCGCTCAACCCCACGGAACGCGATTGAGGATCCGAGCTCTGCTTCATTCTCTACGAATATAAATGAATGTGCATGTGTTCAAACACAAGTGTTTAGGCAATTTGACTGAGTGAGCGTCAATCATACTTGCCGCTGCTCGAGCTCGACTCCGATCGGTCGCATGAATTCACTTCCTTTCTGAAATTGGAAGGGCCTCAGAGTGTACATGAAGTCACGATGCATAAAAATGTGTGACTTGTGACTCTGAATACTGTTCTGGAGCTTTCCCTTGCGAGGGACAGGCGACTCGGGCACTCGCGAATTCGGAGGGAGGCATTGCAAGTCTCACTGAGCTCGCAATCCATCCAATGATGAATCGATCTATCTGTGATATTCTAGGATGGCTTCTCGAGACGGCATTACTGCGCCGCTTCACCGATCGCCGCAGGGCCAGGGGCTTGACGTCGTCAACGAGCTCCACGATAATCAGGTGAGACACTTCAGATACGGGCGGAAACTCAGATTACTCTGCGAGCTATGGACATGCATATCTCTTCGTCCGCCTGATATTGCGGCTGATGATCATGTAAGCCAGCGATAACAATGGCACATGCGACAGCAGTCAGGTACGCCTTGCGTGGCGGATGGAGCTGTCCTGGAGATCCTTTCTCTCGTTGTCGTCCTTCCGGCGCCGAGGCAACGAGCGAGGGAGCGAACGGGCGGGTGGAGCGTAAAGCTCGATTTGTCAATGATAATCGGCTGACGTTTCCGACTTAAGTGGGTCATAATTCACGGGAAATCTCTGTATTCTCCGAGCCCTATCTCCGTGATCGGTTCGCTAGTTGGTAGCGAGCTGGATTGCAGCTAATAAGTCAGGCCTCGACTGAATGAGCCGACGAATGACGGACGGAATGAATGGAGGAATAACCAGGGAGCGACCCGATCCGAAAATCCCGCGCTCCGCGAGAACGCGAATACGAAAGTTGACAGAGTGTGAAATTTCCACCGACCACGCTCCGCGACGACGACGGCGTCTGATGACGACGACCCGACCGTTATCTTTCCTCTTCATTGGATCCACTCCTTCTCCGCTGATTCCGCTCCTGGTCTCATCATTATTAACATCATCATCATAATTATCATTTCCGCCGTCGATTCGACGACGGACATTAATTTCGTCGCTCGCGCACTCAGAAAAATTATGGCTCTAGCGTTCCATTCGTATTTCATTGCTCTCTATCACGCTCTCCTCGGAGTTGTCGCGATCGTTTTCTCCACGCCCGACTTCACGCGTTTGAGTCGAGAGAGAGTTTTCGACGAACCCTGGAAATCCTCCCCGAAGTCGATGAATCTTCTCTCGAGTTCATCGGAGGGACGTTCCTCGCAGAGCTCCACATCTTGGTCGTCGATGAATTTTCGGTAGCTCCAAGTGCTCGAGGCTCTTCAATGGAAAATTCTCTTATTTCTCACCACTGCTCGACTCCGAGCATCGAGCGGTTCCCTGTTTCTTCTTATGGGCGGCTTCGAATGCGGTCGAGTGCAGAAGAAATCCGTTTGAAGATGCTCCGGCCGCAATAACTCCGTCGGACATCCCATCGTCACGAAGTTTCATATGGCTGAACCAGTTCATAAATGCGATGTTGTTCTTGTCGAGGGTTGTCGAGCGGAGAACGTTCTTGTCAACCGAGCGGACTGGGTGAGCATGTCGGCAAACTTGCGAAAATCCTCCGCCGAGACGGGAAAAAAAATGTCAAAGAAACGAGATCTCTCGGATTCGCTGCTTCTTTCATTTCTGCTCTCTCCCACCGAAGGTACACATGGTTCAATTGACGGGCGCAAACGTCGGTGACGATTGTATGCAAATATGCATGAGAGCTCTGCCAAGCCCACTCAGTCAAGTGTCTCAGCTAGCTGTTACGAATGTAGCAGGCCACTTTTCGCGAAACGTCCTTTCAGCACTTTTTCGAGGACGTGTGAGCAAGTTCTCCGGGCAACCCGCCGTGGGGAGCTTCTCGACGGAGAAAACTCGCCACTCGGGTGCTGTATCGACTGTAGTGACGGTGCTGTATCGACACCCATTCGCTGTCAGTTCGAGCGACGCCGACGCCAACCTGTCGAGCGGAGAATGGGCCGTTCGGGGAACTGATCTCGTCCAAGGGTTCTCAGTCGAAGTGGAGACGAGAATAAGCAATGGGAGTCCTTACCTCAGCCGACATAATCGATTAGGCTTTTCCGTCGTCGGAGTAGATCGATCACACTTGTCCCGCACGGCGTCTCCAGACGAGTGCAGCTGACTCGGTGGCGCAACGGTAGCGCGTCTGACTCCAGATCAGAAGGTTGCGTGTTCAAATCACGTCCGGGTCAAACTTTTTTTGAAAGTTCTCGTTTTGCATGCACCGGCCACCGAATTCCATCACGGGTTCATGAGAGATCGACTCCCCGCTACATTCGAAAATCTTCAGTTTCCATTCATATCAAGTCATCAGCACTCCCTCTCCAATGCTCTCGCGACGAGACGGACTACCCAACGAGATCATGGGCGAATCGAACCCATTGGCATTTCGCGAGCCGAAGGTAATCGTTCGGTCTCATTGCATCCGGAATAAGAGTTCTGTCGAACGCCCGCCCTAGCGATCCTTTCGGTGTAAGTTCATGTCTTCTCAGCACGGACTGAACTTTAGCGGAGAACTTCAGAGATTCTAGCCGAAACGCGGCTTTCATGATGAGATTTCCCTAGAGATAGACGGAAAGTACGCGGTGGAAGTTCCACTTTGTCGGGAACCGACCGTCTGGAAAAGCTCATGAAGGACTCTGAAATAGCCTGCTTGAGTCTGTTGCTAGCTGACTCCTCTAGCCATCACGCATACTTAGATATACTATTACTGAACCCGTGGTCTGGTCCGGCTAGCGATTGATTGTCGCACTTCGGGGGAAGCCTCCCAGGGACAACATGGATCTCGGGATTGATCTTCCCCCTTCACGATTCGTCATATCAGAATTATTTGATGACGCCCCCGCGAACTCTCGCAGCTCACGGACGCTCGCGAATCAGCTGATCGTACAGTCTGCTGTGGCGAGTGCTCGAGACGCGAATCATCGACGAGAGCCCAGGTGTGGGCGCTCGCAGCATCTCTACCGCTGCCGGTTGTGTGTGTATCCGGCATGGTCTAGTGGCTAGGATACGCGGCTCTCACCCGCGAGGCCCGGGTTCGATTCCCGGTGTCGGAATAGTTTTTGCTCGAGAGTCTAGAGGTCTAGATCATGGCTGTCTCGAAATAGGCGTCTCGAGGCAGAATCGTCTTCCGTGGCGGGTCGGTCACAGCGCAGTCCTCGGTACGATTTTTGAGGCGTGGAACTGCTCCGCTATTGAAACTGATTTTTGAAGAATGCCGAGGACTGTGAGCGACTCGAAACTCGACTGGGACAAAAAGGAACTCCCCGTCGGGGAATCGAACCCCGGTCTCCCGCGTGACAGGCGGGGATACTTACCACTATACTAACGAGGACTACATTTACAAGAAGGGTCCCAGTCTTGTGATTTCTCTCAGTCAGTGAGCGTTATTTCGTGCACAGAATGTCAGTGTCTGAGTGAGTGAGAGAGTACGTTCAACATTTCAGGGTTGAGAGTACGGTGGTGTATCTCGATTGTAATGCTTGCAGGACTCTGCCCTTGTGTGCTTGGAGTTCTCGCCGATGTTCGCTGTCGGTTTCGATTGTTAACTGTGCAGCTCAATGCGGAAAATACGTATCGGACTCGCGTCAGCAGGGTTCACTTGCTGCCGATCGACCCGGACGCAATCTCGCTGATCATCCTCGACGATGAGCTCTCTCATGCGGTACAGGTCACCAATCAACGTTCGATGGCTCTGTTCGGAGAGCCCAGCCGCCCATGAGTGACGGGGGCTCCAGCCGCAGCGAAGCTCTCGGAAGAGGCTTTCGACGCGGAGAACTCCACTCTCGGATCTATCGGAGCCCCATCCAGGGCTTTAGCGGGGAGGAATTCGATCCCAGTACAGTAATTATTGTTTACATTCATCGTCAGTTGATGTGAAACTGTAAGTAAACCTGTGATTCATCGGAAGAAGGCGATGAATTTCCTGGAAACCTTGACGATACCGTAACTTTGAACAATGGCTGATTCGTATCGAAGGAATCCCGTCCGGTCCTTCCTCGGCTTAGCGACGAATCCAGGAATCCGAAAGCTAGCTTCGGAGGGTACGTGGCAAGCGATTCTTGCGAGCACGAACTCTTCGTTTTCGACGAGGAAACGCCGGGTGAAAGCAACTGGAACCCGAGGGCGTCCAAGCTCGCCTCCGGAGGGATCGAGAACAGGAGAAGCCCAGATTCGAAGCCCAGACCCGAAGCTTCAGACGATGGACCATGTGGACTTTCTCGAAGAAAAAGGAAGTTCAAGTTACTGTGTTAGCGCGGTGGCGCAGTCGCAACTCCCAGAGTTCTCGTCGAAGCATGACAAGAGATTTGAGGTTTGTGCTTCCAATCACGGTAATCGGAATGAATACGCCACCATTCCTTCCAACAAACTCCCAAAACGAAGGTGCGTCCAAGCCCTAGCAAGAAGAATCGAAGAGAGCGCAGTCGGCAGTTGCCAAGTTGTAACATTCCGGACTTCAACTTCACACTCTACTCGCTCGAGATGGGGTGGGAGCGGCGGGGAGTCGATAGATGGCGCTCAGCAACCGGATCTCGACTCCCTCTAGCGGCCGCGAGTTGCCTGGTGGTCGAGGGACAGTCGAGAGTTGGTCCCCTCCAGTAGCGAACTGACTCTTCTACACAACGGACCACGTCGCTCTCGGCTCTGGACTCTTTCCCATGCGCTTGGCCTCAGAGACAACTGTGACATCGACACCGGCCGAGCCGCATTCGATCTTCGTATAGAGTCGAATTTCGCGCTCTGAGCCGAGCATCTGTGAACATCTTTAGTGGACGATCATGAATTACGGCATCGCTCATTAGTCATCATCGAATGGTAGCCGAAAGTGGTCCATTGCGGAGAGCTTAGTTGGCAGACACTACTGAGGAGATACGTGGTCAAGTGGTCCGGGAGGTCGGCCAAGAGACACCACTCTGTGTCGCACGGATTGCGTTTGTGTGAGTGCGTGTGCTTGTTCGTTGTGATCTTCGGGTGATTTCCAACAGACGAAAAAATGACTTCACACTGTCTCTCAGTTTTGAGAATCGTGATGACCTCAGCGTGGATACTGCTCTTCGCCCTCGCGATCTCCGAAGCCAACTTCGGAATGAAACGGAGAAGTCACAAAGGTGAGAACTCGAATGCATGGTCTCGCTGCTCGTTGCGGCTGTCGCGGATCGACCGGATTACGCGGGAGAAACTTATGGCACCGACCGGAGCTCTCGCCGTCAAGGCGCGAATGCCGAAATTGTCGGGGAGTATCGTTCGAAAAGTCCAGTCTTCTTCGAATGGACTCGGAAACTCGATAACGGGGAAATTCATGATTTGCCCAGACCATCACCTCGTTTTGCTCGACAGCGCGAGGAACCGTCCGCCGCGTCTTCCCGAATCCATGATATTATGCCGTGTAGTTTCTGGAATATTTTGACCCTGGAGCTACCTGTATCGGTAATCGCTCGAGGGTCCGTCGATCCTCCTCCAAGTCGACGTCGGTGCACTCTCTCAACCGCGTTGACCGAGGTCGTCTTGATCTCGACGATGGATTCTTTCTTTTGAATTTCGCGGGACGACCGGCCCACCGATCCTCGATCGGAATCGTTTCCTCCACGGAAGGCGAAAGTCGAGTTCGGCTCGTGAAACGTACCCGGAAGGCTCTGGAATGGACGAACGCAGGTTTATGTTTGTGTGATCGGGTTGGAAGAAAAATGAGAACAGTCCTAGGCGACTCGACTTGTTTTGACGCTTTCCACGCGCTAAACAAAGTCGGAACGATCACACTCCAAGCGGTTGGAAGCTCTCCGGAGTCCGCTGCGTAATCTCCCGAACGTTTCCAAGTGGCTGTTTGGATTCTCGCCCGCTTTCACGCCGTTCCGAGTCTTCCCGTTTTTTGCCTCGCGTCAGCTGGCCCTTAAGGTTCGTATACCCTCATGCCTCCCTGACGCTCGGCGCTCATATGACTGACAGATTGAGTCGCCGACTCTCGCAGTAAAATACACAATTGTTAAAGAATTACACTCACACCGAAACGACATTTCGAGAGGGAAGAGCAGGACAACAGAGCGAGATCGGTGGAAAACTCGAAATAGGAACGAGGAGAAGAGAATCGATGATTCTCAGGAGGAATTCGTATGTGTATCCGAGGTAGTACTGTGTATCACGCCAGATGTACGGAATGCGGTGGATTCTGGGAGAGGTCTTCCCAATCAAATCAAGGCTCAGAAGGATTTTGTCTGTCGAAAACGCGAGTCCGAGCCTCGAATACCGCCGCTTTCGATCCGAACGATCTGCGCCGAGGAACTCGTTTTCCGGTCTGGAGTCCGAGGTCAAATTGCATTCGGCTCTGCGTTCAATGCTGGCAGGGCACGTGATCACGTGCCGCGGACGAACGTGCTTACGTTCTGAACAGTCTATTTTTCTATCTGTTCCGCTATCTCCGACGTTCATCGAGCGTCTGCGGTGAAGAATTACGCGCTTCCACATACACGATCCTCTTCTGGTCTATTGGCCGGCAGCGGTCGCACGGAATACGGAGGGACATTTCATACATCAGCTTGTGACATCAGATCCCGCTCTCGTGATTCGCTCTCGTCAGAAGATCGTTGATGCCATCGGGATCAGAGAATACGAGACATTGATCCGCCGTTATCGAACTACTGTGACCGCGAAAAAAAATTGAAAGTCAGAATTATGAGATCCAGGCGCCGACCAGATGATTTACGGGCATCGACCCTTGAACGAAAGGGAATTACACGCAATGAAATCGATTTTAGTCATTACGAATCGAATACTTGTTTACGTTTGACCGCTCTGTGATTGATTTGTAGGCTGCGAAATTGACGATTAATGATGATGAGGGAAACTTTCATTTCGCCGTCATCGCGGAGAAAGCTGCTCGATGATTCTCGTGTCTGGTAGTCGAACCTCTTTGGCGATAATTAATAAGCCAATTATTGCGCCATTGCGAAGGCAATCATTTTCATTATTTTCTTGTCAAGTATTAGCAATCGTAAACACTCTATCGACGGCGGGGAACTGACCTAGAGTACCATGCGCGTCGCATTTTCTTTTTCTTTTCCGTGGGTTGATTCTTGGGATGGAGTATTGGGATGGAATTCTGAAGAGATATCACTGAAAGCTGAATTTCCCTCATGAGCTTCCATGATCGATCAGAGATAGACTCCGTGAAGTAGATGAATGATCCAAACTCTTCCGATTCGACTCCGTTTCCACGAAGTTACCGGGAAAGGGGTCCATATTTACAAACGACGGTATCTGTTGGTTCGAGGGACTCTGAGCGACGATGCGAAATGCAGGACACTCGGTCAACAAGTCGAGTAAATAGTTATGTCCATCGAACATCATGAGGCCACCACCGTTAGAAGATTTGCCGTGCCTGCGGTCAGCGTTCCATGGAGCTCCTACGGGGCTTGAACAAACAAATCCACGCTTGCATACTACGTTTCGACGCAGGGATGAAACTAGTTGAAAATATAACCTTTGAACCGTACTAGCAGAGAACCTTGAGTCGATGATGTTGCTTCTGCCCCACCGCTATTGAACACGGTTAAAATGATGAACACGTCGAACGGGACCGCTGGCATATCGTCGGATCGATGCTGCCGCGAATTTTGATGACCGGCCTCCAAGAGGAAGTTGTGAATTTATGCATTTCAATTCAAGAGCTCTCGACAAAGACAAGCTTCCCATGGTCGGTCGTATTGCACGTACTGGAAACACGGAGAATTTAGCGAAGTTGCAAGCTCCAGCCCCACAGTTTCGACGAGGAGCATGAGTGGTGAGTGGTCCCCTGATGATCACCGCCACAGAACTTCATCAACTCTTGGAATCGACTTTAAGTCGCTCGCATTTATTCTCTTCGGAAACTTTCCCTTGTCTCCGATCGAAGCGAAGACAAGCCCGACTCGATTCCATCAAGAATTCAATTATTGAATTCAACCTCAGCCGGAGAACATCAAACCGCCTTTCCCAGAAAATTTGACACATTGAACCCGCCACGTGTATTCATCGCGGTTGATAATTGGCTTTGGCCGGCATGTCTGCTTTCAATTCCTGCTCAGAACCGAGAACTTCGAATGGTAATCTTCACGGCAAGGGGGATGTATCGCTTAAAGCTACAAATCGTTGCCACATGAAAGTCATTTCGAAGGTCACGGATCAGTCGGTAGATTAATTAGAAACGTGGGGTGTCTCCCTTCGGAACTTCCTGTCGATGTGAAGAGGAACTTTCAAAAACAAACTCACAAGGATCAGGTTCGTCGCGATGTGATTCGATTGAATCCGCAGGCTGCGTTCTCTCCAACCTCCCTCTCGACAGAGAAGCGTCGCTGAACTCGCGATGTGTCTTTGCCAGAGCTGCGTGTCGAATTCCATCCGTGTCTTTCGTCGTCCAGTTTCTCGGTTTTTCGGCACACATGTGCATTTCATGATCGAAACTTTTTATGAGCACACATCTCTGGTCTCCGTGTCCTTTCACTATCGTAAGAAAAACGAAACTTTAGCGAACAGACCGCTGATCTATTCATCCGAGGCTCACCGCGATCGATCCAATGATTCTTCCGAGAGCCACATGCTCACGGTCGGATCCGCGAGATTCCATAAGGACTGGGACGGCCTTCGATTCCGAAAGTTTCTAGACTGTGATTTCTTTCGAGTTGTACTTTGGTGGCCAGGATTTTCAACGAGGAAGGCTCAGGTCGTTTCTCCTGCTTCTCTGTGGGCCTTGCGACAGACTTCCTCTAGGATAAAGTTAGAAGCAGTGACATACCACAAGGTACGCCGAGAGTGTTCAAACCCTCGCACCACCTCCTGCAAAGAAGTCCGTGGACTTGTTTTTGCTTCCGAGCCGGGTATGTGCACAAACAGGTTACGAAATCAGTTTCGTCGCTCGGAGATAATCCGTTGTTTCGACCCGCGGCGCGGAGCAGAAGGCCGGTGGGACGGAAAAGAAGCGGAACGAGTCCTAGGTGGAAGGATCCGGAAGGAATCTGCGAGGCCAAGCCGAGGACGGTGTTGGCACGGGCCATCCTACCTCGGAGCTCTTGCCCAGGAGCAAAGGCAGTGGCGGGTTGCCGAGTCGGCTCGCATGCTCTAGAGTGTGACCATCAATCTAAGCTGTCGCCATTAGAAGACTCCGGCGTAGGTTGCTTCGAACTGATGTCTTCATTCGTCTTGAACTTTTTACCCCGCGGTCGCATGGGCTCTCACTCTCTCGAGCTAAGTGTGCATTTCCCCGAAAATCCCTTATAGGGAGTTGTTCGCGAAACATCTCGGCCGTGAAATTCTGAGATGTGTTTTTTTCTCAATCGATGAGTCCGATCTGGTTGTCGGGTCGGGCAAACTCGGGGATTCCAACAGATGATGCTTTCCCCGTGCGGTTCAGCGTCGAGGCTTTTCTTAATCCCATCGAAGAGAACATTTATTGAACTGCAATCAGTGTCCCGCAATCAGAGCCTAATGAAATAAAGCATTTTGCTCGACTAAGTGGATCATCCTACCGAGACTGAGGGTGAAGCCACTGCTCGCAACCCCTTCATGCGAGACTCTCAATCTCATCGGCAATCCCTAGCACCACATCGAGATGTTCCCTTCGCCGATTCCCCTGATTTCCTTACTATTGGATTCGGTTCTCGAAGTACTTGCGCTCAACTATAGTCGTCTCGCGCGAGTTTTGGGAACTCCTGGTTTCTTTCCGCTCAAGCGATGAGTACATAGACCACCGAGCTATGTCCATACGATGCCGTTGATGAGCTAGACGGGGATCAGCCGCTGAATACTATAATAACTTACATTAATTCAATTGAGTTGGCTCGAATCGTTCCCGATGAGGTCGTTCGACCCTCACTCGTGAGTTGATCGCTTGGTTTACTTCGATTGTCACTGCGGAACAATCCCAAGCCGATCATTCGAGCATCACGATCCAAAGCAGATGCTATGCACCATTGGTCAGAAGAGCGGACGAGGGCGAGAAGTGACCAACACACGAGAGTGGAATCAGCGAAACGCGCTATTAGCCTCCGAAGCTGCAGCGACTGCAGCAATCCGAGTGGATGGATACACTTGTCTTCGAGCGTCATAACAAAGATATTGTGACTCATAGTCAACGGACGAG